GATACATCAAGTTATCCCCTTTTCACGGTATCCCGGACTCCCTTTGTTATGCCACACTACACAAAGTATGACATTAGATTATCGCTCATTGAATTAATAAGCCAAGATTTGAAAAGTGCATCTTCGGCTGGTGCAACCTTTTTTCTACCGATATAGCCCTTCTTTTACTTCCAGCAATATGCATCTTCAAAATTTTAGACTAGACTCAATAGTTAGCACCATCCAATTTAGTATGGATGGATGAAGAAGCATCGTGATTGGCTGTTATGGAGGTTTCATGCCTTCAATATTTGCAACCTCGGGTTTGGTCGACGAACTGTGGTGAGGCTAGTGTTTTAGGGGAAAAAAAGCTGCGGCTAGGATTTTGAAAAGAATAAAGGAGTAGTCGCGGCTAGGGTTTTTGAAAAAATTATATAAAGCTCGATACCAAGTTGTTAATATGCGAAATAATACTTCTTTCATGTATTCTAATCATATATACATAAGATACAAGAACCTATATATGATAAATAGATCAAACATACAACTCGTGTGTATATTCCTAATTTGAGAAAAAGTATACAAGAAATGTACAAAATAGAAAGTAGGAAATAATGCAGCTCATTATCAATTGCCTATTACACCTCAAGAGTACTGACCTTGTGAGTATAGAATGGATTCAATGGAGAATAAAGTAAGTGGCTTATCTTGTAGAGTTAATTTACTGGAATTGTTGGGAATAGTTTGCTGCTAAACGTGTACTTTCAAGGTGAATCATGGTAGGTTAGCGCTATTTTGGCGTGGTATTCTTTGTGGGGGTGGAAAACTTGAGGTATTTTTGGTTGCACTTTTCTAAACAAACGAAAATGCAGCTATTGCATGACGCAAGACGGCATAGGGGCTGTTTTGGATCTGAGTTTGGAGGCTATTTAGGGGTGTTTAGGTTTGTATTGATGTGCATTTGTACTGGGAATTATAGAACTATGAGAGTCACACTCATAGGGTTTCTAGGAGTCACACCTAAAGGATAAAAAAACCTAAGGTTCACACTTAGGGGTTTTACGAGTTACACCCAAGGGAGATTGAGTCACACAATCAAAAGTAAATTGCTGGAAATTATTTGATATTATTTTATTATGAATATTGAAAGACTATATACTATATTTATAGAGTTGTAGAAGTACAAATCCAATTAGGAACAGGATTCCTAAATCTCCAACATAACTATTCCTATTTAGAATAGGAAAACCTATAACTATTCCTATTTAGGAATAGAGAACCTAATAACTTCAAAACTAAGAAAATAAAATACTAAACAGAAATAAAGCCTAGACCTAGACAGATTTCCATCAAACCTAAAAATCCTAAAGTACCCTTGCATTCTAAAATTTAAATAAAACACATAAATCTTAGTCTTTTGTCGTTCGCATCATCCTCTCCAGCTTGGAGAAAACTTGACCTCGAGTTTTAAAATCATGTGATTGCATCCTCATCATCATCAAGGTCATCAGCCTCATAAATCCCAAAATCTAAAGAATTTCCTGCAAAATCAGATTCTTGCTCTGCCGCTTCCTTTCCTTGTGCAATCCCAACATGCAAATATTTCTTCATAGGACATTGGTAACCCATATGTCCCTGTTCTACACACTTAAAACAAACAGGTCCTTTGTTGTTTCTACCTTTGGTAGGGGCTATATTAGAAGAAGAAGGTATTGAACCATTTGGATGGTTGACAGGTTGTGAATGGACTGACTTTCCTTCCTTACTCAAGTCAATGGCTGGCCTTTCATTCTTACCATAGGAAGTGGTTGTAAACCTCATAGAAGTCTTCTTTTTAGCTTCTTCCTTAATCTGAGCAGCAACTTGAACCGCATCAGTCATTGTATAAAGCCTACAAGTAGCTAAACCAGAAGAAATTTGTAAATTCAGCCCTTGCCGATGCATAGATATCATGGCATCTTCATTCCATGGACATTCTGACCTTGTTGCTAAGCTGAAAAATTTGTTAGTGTACTCATCAACGCTTAAACTTCCTTGTGTCAATTGCATAAATTGCTTGTGAACTCGTTGCTTGTAATTAGGTGGTACAAAATAACGGGTCATAGCAATCTTCATATCTTCCCAAGTTCGAAGGGTAGCATAATGACTTTGCTGAAATTTTTCCAACCAAACTGTAGCTGTCCTTTTTGACTTGGCTTCTGCAAAATAAATTTTTTGCTTATCACCCCAGTGATACCACCTAAAGAGGCTTTCCAAACCATGTAAACAAAAAAAAAAAAAAAAAACCTCCAGATTACTCTCTCCATGAAAATAACTAACATCAAGCTTAATACCTTTATCTATATCATTCATCCTTGAATCTTCTTGATATCAAGTTTGAGGAGGAAAAGAAGGATTGGTTTCTACCTTTTGTGTTAAAGCTTGCATTGATGAGTCTACTATAGGCTGTATTTGGTTAGGCACTGGCTGGTTGAGATTTTGGGTAGCCACAAAACCTTGATTTTGTGGAAAAGAGTTGTCAGTTGTTGTAACAGCTGGTTGCTTTCTTAGAAAAATTTTTGAAAGCCTTTCAATTGACTCTTTTAATGCTGCAAATCTGGAATCAAATCTGTCCTCTATTGCTGCAAGTCTGGAATCAAATTTTTCTTCAATGTTCTCCAACCTTTCATCCATAGATTTCTTGCTTGCTTCAGCTTCTAGTCGAAAGGCTTCAAATTTTGTGTTGACTTCATTGACAGTCACCATAATTGAAGAACGCAGCAAGAAAAACTTCTAGGATCTTGAAGCTTTGATACCAACTGACGCAGGACAGCTTAGAGGCTGTTCTGGCTCTGAGTTTGGAGACTGTTTAGGGGTGTTTAGGTTTGTATTGATGTGGATTTGTACTGGGAATTATAGAACTATAAGTCACACTCATAGGGTTTCTAGGAGTCACACCTAGAGAATAAAAAAAACCTTAAGCTTCACACCTAGGGTTCTTATGAGTTATACCTAAGGGAGATTGAGTCACACAGTCAAAAGCAAATTGCTGGAAATTATTCGATATTATTGCATTCTGAATATTGAAAGACTATATACTGTATTTATAGAGTTGTAGAAGTCCAAACCCATTTATGAAAAGGATTCCTAAACCTCCAACATAACCATTCCTATTTAGAATAAGAAAACCTATAGCTATTCCTATTTAGGAATAGAAAACCTAATAACTTCAGGACTAAGAAAATAAAATACTAAACAGAAATAAAACCTAGACCTAGACAAATTTCCATCAAACCTAAAAAATACTAAAATACCCTTGCATTCTAAAATTTAAACAAAACACATAAATCTTAGTCTTTTGTCATCCGCATCATTGCATGTTACATGTTTTGCCCTCATGGATGGGATTGGAATCCCTAGTTAATGGAGCTGTTGAAGATCAGAAGTAACGGGCACTTGGTGAGGTAGTTGTTCTATATGTATTGCACATTGATTAGCTAAGGTGAGGATGCATTGTCGGAAGTTGCCAGTTTGAAAGGTTTTTGAGGCAAGGTCCTCATTTAATGTATCAGTAGTGGGTTAGTGGTCATAATCATCCAGAGTACTATTTAGAAGGTTGGTTTCCTACTACGATAGCTTATTTGCATGCTGGGAGGCTCACTCTTCTATTTAACTTCCAAGGATTTGATATAGAGGGATAGGTTATTATTAGTTGATTTACCTCTTTAAGACTAGGGTTTCTAGAGATGTTAGGGAAACAGGAAAAAAGATGTTCAGAAAGAGCTATAAATAAGAGCGATTCCAAACAGGTTTTCTCATATCTTCATATTACTAGTACATATAGCATGGAAATGAGATATTGACCTCAAAGACTTGGCTGAAACTCCATATTTCAAAACCAAACACAAAGAAAGCTGGTTGTCTTCTTCATTGCTTATTCACTAGTTGGATGAATTTAGGAGGGAAAATCTTGGTAATTATGAATCTGGTTGAAATTACTTGAGTTTCACCCATTGTCTGATTTCTTAAATGCTTGTATGTTTAATTAAGAATTTGTAAGATCAAGGCAACAGTTTTAATCCTGTCAAGTTTATTCAATGTGATATTTAATTAGGACAATCCCCTTTGTTGTCTTAGTAATATAAAATCTTAAGTATTGGCACTGAGTACTTTTCTCCCATCAGTTCCCCGGACTTTACTAGTGTTAGATTTTTTCAGTAACAAGTATTGATATGACAACAGCAGCCTATTATTGTCAGAAAATGGATATCTCTTGGACTAATCCTTTACATTTCAAGAGTGGTTGATGTGTCTGATCTTGTTTGCCTCTTGCTTCTTTGAATTCCAGCATGCTATGGGCTGAAAAGCTGATAGTACTACATTTTTTCTTTGCATTTATGACAGCGATCACGGCAGTCAACCATAGCTGTTACAATGTTAATTTTTATGTTTAATTCTTTTGACTTTTTCTTGCTGGAGTCAATTGTTTCTCAATAGCCAAACCCTGTTTTATGTTTTTCAAATTTTTTAAGACGACAATACATTAAGAATCTTTGTTGTTTTGCCATTTATTCTACTTCTCTTTTCATCATTCAATATAACATATTTAATAGAGCAAATAATTTTTTTTTTTTTTTTTTTGGTAACCAAACATAACAAATAACCAATGTATCTACCAACTACTTCTGTACAGGTCATGCGAAAGTTATGGTTTCATTGCTGCAAGATATGCAAGGGAATGGCCAGAGGCTGACAATGTTGCAATTAGTGGACAAAATGAAAAATAAGCAAAAGGAACTTGGTTCGTCCTAATGGAATTTATTTTCAGTAAAAATGGTTTCCACGAACTTAATCTACATATCTTCTTATTACCAGTATAACATTGTCACAGATAGTTTCACTGATATTTGTGTTTACATTAATGATTCTACTGTACTGAGTCATTAATTTACAGTAGTGATCACTGCCTAATTCTTGAGTTGAAATCTTATGAAAAATAATTAACATCGTAAGTCCTAAGATTTCTTCCTTTTAAAAACAAAATGAGACTGCATCATCAGGGTTGGTGCCCTGCTGTATTGAATTCTCTACAGATTTGTATGCCCAAGCACACATATGTGTATACTTATCCACATTATGATGATTTGAGTGCAATGGGTATAATAAATATGCTGGATCAGTTAATTCTAATTAATCTACATGCTTGAGTAAACCACGACCTCCAGTCCAAATTTATCTCCCAACAAAGTAATTCTAAAGCCAATTTTATGTGAACTGTGAACTCTATTAAGCTCTTCTAACAATAGACAAGCATTGAATGCCTTACATGACTGCTTTTGTAGTACCTGATGTATGAAACAATGTGTGTGGGTGGGGGCTGGCTGGCAATCTGTAAACTAGTATATAATTGTGGCAAAAGTCCAGGCATAAAATTATAGACCACATGCCATTAACACTCTTGCCCTTGAAACAGTCACTTGATGTATATTAAAACATTCTCTATTTGCCAATGAAACAAATCTTTTAGTTCTTAGATTTTGTTGATGGAACCTGACATGTATCAAAACATTGAAATCTTGGGGCTTTTGTTTCATATAAATTCTACTGTATTTATAGCCCCTGAATAGTACCTGTATATGATAAAGATACAGCATCCTCGTAGAAGTATCAACTATTTGATATTGTTCTGGCATTTCTTATCTACACAGCTTTGCATATTTTCCAGGAACCTTGATTACTATATATTGTTTAAAGGGCATAGACTGGCATTGTTTGAAATTTTAGGTTTGGTTTACAGAAGTAAAAAAAAAAGTCCGAGGAAAAGTGAAAATGAGTGAAATTAGATTAGTCTGGCTTATTTACCTCTTGTTACAGCATGAAAATAAAAATTATCTAAATGGAGAAATAAGATGCAACTTTTGTACTGATATATGATGTACAGATGTCAAAAGAGATTAGAGCTACCTTTCTTTTTTGGTTGGCTAATTCTTGCAATTGTTTTTTTTTCCTGTTATTTTTATCTTACACTGCTCTAAACTTTTTATTTATTCTTTAAGTGCATTTGAATTCTGGTAAACGTAATGCATCATACATAAATTTATTTATTTATCTGATGAATCCCCAGGCTCTGACATAAAGAAGGAGGAAATGGAACAGCTTGTCATACAGCTTATACTCAACCGTGTTTTTGTAAGTACATGTATGCTTTTGAGTTCAAATGCGTGAAGGCAATCTGGTGGATAATACTATTGTTTGAATTAGTTGCTGAGTCACTCATGACACTAAAAATACGTTTAAACACTGCTAACAGAAAAGTAAATTTTAATATGTAATTTTCGTCTGTATTTGCTTACAGAAAAAGCAACATCATTTGTTTGAGTGATTAGTCCATACCTTCGATTGTTATTGAAATTCATGTCATTGAGCCCAAAAACTCAATGGCATGATTTTGTGTGTTCATGTCTTCTCTTTTTGCAACATTATATCTACCTCAAAAGGCTTGCCAATTTGTATTGTTGTCTTTTGTAATGTAGAAAGAAGAATTTCAGCATACAGCCTATTCTACAAATGCTTATGTGACAATAGGTCCATTGGCAAAGCAGGTACTGCAAGGTATGATTCCAAATTGATACTTGGTTCTATAATTTTGGTGGCCTGCATATTTTGAAGTTGAGATGTACCATGTCTTTTCCTGTTCAATACAAGTGTTCAGACAAGAAATTTTGAAAATCCGTGTAGGCTTGTATAGTCTCTCCCAGCAGTAATGCTGTATGTAATTGACGTAATGTTAAATATCTGTCATTTTGCACGTAGGAAAGAAGATTGTTAAGCTTGAGATCTCTAGCAAACAGAAGAATAGGTACGGCAACATGAAATCAGCAAAACGCAACCTCACATTTTCTGGATTCGAGTTGAAGCTTGATGAGTTGCGGAAGGAACTCTCTTCAAGTCATGGTGGAATATTTCCCCATTCTGTCTTGTCTAGGCAGCAGATGAGTATGATCAGTTCCCAGAAACCAAATTCGGCTCAAGAGGCAAGTTCTTGCCATGTTTATATGTTACTGAGTAGCTACCCTTGGCATGGAGCTGGTTGGAATCATATTCCAGTTTGTTGTTACTCATAGTGCTTCAGGTCTCACATTCTATTGGTTACAAAGCTTGAATTACCATTGGAAAAACTGGCCTGTCTTGTCTGAGTACGGAGAACTAGCACTCTCTAAATGGATGCTGTTGACTTCTTGCCAGCTGTAATTCTTGGTGCCATTACTCAAAGCCTATATGAATGCAAGACTACACACATGTGCGCGGAGCAACTAACACCCCTGTATATAAAAAGCACTGTAGTCAGTGTCAGTTCAGTTGAATAATCCAATCAAGTCATGGGCTGTTCATTTTAAGGTGCCTTATGACTGATTCGTGCCTGTGATGGCCTTCTGTTCTCAGAATAGCCCAAAGGAATTGCAACTTTCTAACTGATCTATGCTTGCCATGATGTTTCATTCCTACAACAGCCCAAGCTAGTCCAGTCAACCTGATAATTCTAATTTACCTGTTTTTGTTTGCAGTTGGAGAAGATAATTGGAAAGCTGAAGACAGAAAAGTATGGGAGTAGAATTCTTGATGAGATCAAGAAGTACACCCCCTCTGAGCCACCCGACAATAGCACGTTGAATCAGGAAGAAGGAAGTGAGAATAGAGCTAGCAAGAGGCTGAAGACGAATAAGGGTCTTGTCGTTATTGAGAGCAGTGATGAGGAATCATCATAAAGGTTGAAGGAAGCGTTACTTTCACCACCAGTCCTTCAAGAGTTCAGAGAGCGCACATTAGCCATGCAGACTTGTTTGTGCTCATAGTTTGTTTCAATATCTTGTTTGGCAGACGAAGTATCTTAGGGATCTTTCCTTTCCCGTCTGATGCTCGTAGAGGTCATGGAAAAAGAGATGAGATGGGGTTGGAGGAAATTTACATCTTCATGAACAATTTTGCATATGTTCGGCAGTGAGGAGAACTGCTGTATATTGGTTACACTTCTCTCTAGCAGTTCAAACGCTCAAAAACAAAATTTGATTCAATTATTAATCCAGAACGCCTAATTACATGCGAGTGGATTACTCTTTAAGAAGAAAGGGTAGGCGTTCCATGATACTATCTGTTTTCTTGCACCATCATTTCTCCCTGTTTTTGCGTATCTGCTGGAACATGCAGCCTTCTTCGTTTGTTTGCTGGAAAACAAATCTCATGGGACCAAAAAAAAAAAAAAAATGTTTCTTTTATATCATCTCTATAATCTAACGTATGTTTTTGATAATGTGATTAAAATTACTATATCATCTTTAAATATTTCTTCAAGCATTTTGATAGAGTAAACTATAAATCTCCTATATTTTAGAAACGAATTGCTTAACCGTTTTTGTTTTAAAAACTAATTATTTATGTCACTGACCAATTTTGATTATATTTAATTTAATAAAAATACAGAAATTAAATAATTATTTTTAAAAAAATTGGCTAGTTAATTTATTTCTCAAAACTATAGGGATTAATTTATAATTTACTTTTGAAGAGAGTATTTTATTTTTACTTAATCATAGTAGTTCGAGGCCTGATAATAAATATTGACGTGAATGGACAGATGAGCCCAAAACAGTTCCGGCCCAAAAGATGATGTACGAAAATTTTCAATAATTTTTTCTCAACAATCCTTAGGAGAAAAGGAAGGAAAATCCATTGGCGACTTCCCTCCTTCTTTCCTCCTCTGCGACAGCGTTAGGGTTAGCGTCATAAGCAGGAGCAAATCGAAACACCGTAAGTGGCTCTTCTCTTTTGGTGATCGAAGAAGCATGAAGCTCTCCTTCTCAATTCCATCAAAATCCAAATCAAAACCAAAACCAGTCGCAGACAAAGATCAATCAGATGATAACAACACCAAACAATATGTCACCGAATTCGATCCCACAGAAACCCTACAACCTCAAAACGCTCAAACTCCAATTATCCAACCTATACAGAACGAATACCGACCCCACAAAAAAATGAAAAACATCGACCTCCCTCTCCATCCCGACTCCTCCACCGACCTCTGTTTCGAACGCGAAACTCTCTCCTCGGATCCCGCTGCCGGCGCCTCCGATTCCATCTCGTTCGGCCTCAATCTCCGCCACTCCACCGCCTCCGACTCCACACAAACCCAAGAAGCTACAGTTGAGGATGTGATGTTGGAGAAGCTGAGGTATGATTTGAAGAGGTTGCCAGAGCATCGAGGGTCTGAGGAGTTTGAAGAAATGCCGGTTGAGGATTTTGCCAAGGCGTTGCTCAAGGGTTATGGTTGGCATGAAGGGAGAGGTGTTGGTAAGAATGCTAAAGAAGATGTTAAAGTCAAGCAGTACACCAAAAGAACTGATAAAGAAGGTTTGGGATTCTTGGCTGCTTCACATGATTCTAAAAGTAGCAATAAAAGTAGTAACTTCAGCAGTACTAATGGTAATGGTAATGTTAGTAGTGGTGGTAGTGTTACTGTTGAACAGAGAGAAAGAGAGAGGAATAAAGACGGGTTTTTTGTGGGTAAAGAAATTAGAGTGATTAGTGGTAAAAAGGAGAATCTGGGGTTGAAAGGTAAGATTGTTGAGAGATTGGGTTTGGATTCACTTGTTTTGAGGGTAGAAAAGAGTGGGGAGTGTGTGAAGGTTCGGGTTTCTGATGTTGCAGAATTGGGGTCGACAAAAGAGGAGAAATGCTTGAAGGAATTAAAGGAGTTAAAGATTAGAGAAGAGAAGAAATTGGGTGATTGGGATAGGGAACGAAAGCCCGTTAATAAGCGGAGTGTAGAGAGTAGAGAAAGTTCGAAATTTGGGAATGATGGCATTGGTAAAGAGAGAGGAGTTCAGTGGCTTAGGAGTCATATTCGGGTTAGGATAATTAGTAAGGAATTGAAAGGGGGTAAATTATATTTGAAGAAAGGGGAGGTGGTGGATGTGGTTGGGCCTTATAAGTGTGATATAAGCATGGATGAGAGTAGGGAGTTGGTGCAAAGTGTGGATCAGGATCTTCTTGAGACTGCATTGCCACGTCGTGGAGGTCCAGTTCTGGTTCTTTATGGGAAGCATAAGGGAGCTTATGGGAATTTGGTTCAAAGAGACTTGGATAAAGAGATTGGGGTTGTTCAGGATTCTGGTAGCCATGAGCTGCTTAATGTCAAACTCGAGCAAATTGCAGAGTATGTAGGAGATCCCAGCTACATTGGCTATTGATTCTCTTGATGAGTATTGTAGACATCCCAGTTCCATCAATAGGTATTTTGGGATACTCTGTCTTGGTTGCTTATATTGATACGTGTATCCATTCAGAATTTCAGATACTCTCAGTAATTTATGGGTCTTCTGTTATTTGAATTGCTATTGTTGCTTTAGTCGACACTTTAGATAATAAATCGTTTTTCAATCTTGTTTCACTATTTCCACTGAATCTAACGCAAATGATGGTTCATGTTGAAGCATGGTTAATTTGGACATGCAATAAAAACTTCCATCATTTGTGAATGAAATTGCTTTTTAGACAAGCTCTTGGTATTCTTTCAAATTTCAATTTTGAAGATCACAAGTTGCATAAGCTTTAAGATTGCAAGCTACGAATCTGTTTGAATTGTTTTCAAGTTCTTACTTAGCTGGTAATTATTACTGCCCCAGTAATTAATCCTTATAATGTTAATTGGGGCGTTCTTTTAGGTTTTTAATTGGTCTTCACTTAAAGCCAACTGCATTTTCTTGTTCAAGTCCCGAAGTTCCTACAAAATGATGGAATCAGGTTGCAGAGTTATTCTAGGCTTCTAATCATATAGTTCAAGCCACTGCAAATTCTTGTTAGTGTAGGAGAACTGGAGACAAGATGTTGGGGGATTTGCAAATAATTGGGACTAGCAAATAAGATTAGTGAGGTTACACCTTACCAAAAAGGAGAAAATATGCACAGACTTCCCCTTTTTTTCTTTCCGCTTGCAGCTCACATAACTCATTTAATCACTCACAGGGTGCATTTGAAGGGAGCAGGGGTTGCATCTTTAAGATTCTGTTTGACAATCGATTAAATGGGAGAAAAAAGAAGAAGCAAATAATGAAAGACAGATAAACCTATCGTCATATTAGCTCACTTGGCTGTTTGGAATTAATTTGCTAGGAGTTCGTGGTGTCATGTCTAATAAAAAGGATACATCATGTCATCCACGAGGCACTAAGGCTGAAAATTGCCGCTCAAGATTTGGTTGTGGTTTGTGTCTTCTTGCTGTGTTTCAAGGTACTTCATCCGTTTCCTTTTAACAAAAACAGAAATGTTTGTAGAACAAAAATAGTTTTTTCCGTCATTGTGAATGATTATAAAAATTGTGGTTTGCTGTTGTGTGGCATTATTCTAACTCTCTCTCTCTCTCTCTCTCTCTCCCGGGTTGCTTTCTTCCCAATTTTTTAGCCCCCACCGCCGTGTCTCCTTAAAGAAGCACTTAAATCTTGGGTTTGAGGTTAAACTCTCTCTAGCATGTTAGGTTTTGCCATGATAAAATTAAATTTGATTCTTATATCATTTTGAAAATAGTTAGTGATTTTGATTTTCTGTGTTCAGGAGTATAATTAATGCCCATTTCAATGCCAATTGTATCTACCATCCACTTTTGGTAATCTCATTATGGAATCTGTTTGGTGCTCTTGCTGATTCTTTTTGCTGGGTTTCTTGCTGGCGTGATGATTGTAATTCCAAATAGCAAACATATTGAACTCAAGTTTGCTTTGATTTCTTGAGTTTTTTTTTTTTATTGGTGCTTATCTTTTTGATTTAACAATCTCAGCTCTGACCTGTTTGCAGGATGAGTTCTGATGCAGAAAAGTTAATGAGCATGTTCAGATTTCTTCTGATATTTGATTGTGAAGTCCCAAAGCTTGCCCGTTCCGGAACATAATTATTGCCTCCACTTGTCCTGCAATTGCTTATTTGGTTCGTTGCAGTTACAAGACATTCTGCAACAGGATTCATATCAGAGTCAGATGGAGAGACCTTCCCCAATTTAAAGTTCTGAAGCAACATATTATTAGTTATTTTCAATGGAAAAAGGAAATTAAAAAAAGTGAAGGTTGCCAGTTTAATTGCTGTAATTGCCTAATTGGTTGTCTTAAAGCAGATTGCATTTGAAATGGGAATGGCAACCGGAACGTAAACTGCTATTACTAGCTTTGTTATGGCGTGTTTGTAGAGCAAAAACAGTTGTACGGTACCCCTAGTTGGTGTAAAAATTCAGTAAAAGATCGCTGTGACTCGGTGTGTAACTGCTTACTCAGAGAAAAAAGCGAGACCGCTGAGTGATCCCATTTGAATACTAAACATTTTTTTAAGAATGATAATGTCCTCACCTTTAAGTGATGATAGAATTTAGTAGAGATTCTCTTCAATTTTTATTTTTCAAATCTTTCCCTCTCTCTAGCCCTCGTAAAGATGGAATCTCCTTTGGTCAAGTAAACCATTTATGCTGGTTTTTGGAAAGGATGGCAAATGTATTCTGAGGGTGAAAAATATTGCAACTTTCACATTCCACTCCCTCTTCAGATGCGGTGCGCATTAGTATTTTTCCGAAAGCTGAGTCTTTCCTATAAGAAAATGAGCGTCCAGAGAGAGAGAGCAAAAGGAGAAGTGTCAGTCCCACGTGTTCCTTCCATCTCTTTTCCTACCAAATTAAACCATCTCGGTCATCGGTCTTGTCTTGCTTCAATTATTGATACTTTAGTAGTACTGGTGTAATATAATATTAAGAGCGAATCCTGGCAGTTTTCAATGGAATCAGTACTGGTGGGCAGCAGTGGACAACTACGTGGACTAACGCACACAATCTCAAAGCTTGGGCATAATAAACTCCCTCTTCTTCCCTCTCTCTTCCCCAGTTCAACTACCACCAGCACAACGCCCGTTACATTTTCTCCATTTCGGCCCTTCGCTTCCAGGTTCTCCTTCCTCAACCGTCACTTGCCTATGGCTTCTTTGCTTCTGTTATTGATTTTGGGTCTGAAAATTTATTTTGGGAATCGCTGTTTGACATTTTGAAAGAACAAGTTCATGTTAGTTCAGTTCTACATTTGAGACATGCATGCAGAAGTGTACCAAGTACCCACTGACTAAAATTTTTGTACATATTAATTCTATTACTCCTTAGGAATCATTACTTAGATATCTAAGATTATGTAGCACTTCTCCATGCCCTTATAATTACTAAAGAAAAGGTTCATTTATCCATAGCTTTTTTTTTCTCTCACTCTCTATTCTGCTTCTTTGACTGTTTGATTGATTAAATATCTAATCAAACTTTGGCATGCAGAAAGAGGAGGCTTAATAAGAAATCAAGTTCCAGTGGATTGATGTCTAAAATGGCTGATCATGATCAAGCCAAGGTAGCATCCGCTGATGTTGTATCCGGGGATATGATTTTTCAGCCTATCTTGGAGGATGGGATTTTTCGATTTGATTGTTCTGTAGATTCTAGAGTTGCTGCACATCCCAGTCTTTCATTCATCAATAGCAAAGATAGGGACACACCAATCGTGAGTCATAGTGTTCCTTCATACACTCCTGCTTTTGAACGTGTTTCTGGGCAGCAGATTGTTAAACTCGAGGTGGGTAGTTGCAGATTTCCCATATTTTTACCTATCTTAATGTTAAATTTGAAATCTTTTATGTTTATATTATTGTGTTATTCCAAGTGCTGTCAATTTACAGTGTAGTGTTTGTAATGTGAAAGAATTCGTTTCTGGTTTTAGTTTCCTGTTGGTACCTCCTTTTATGGAACTGGAGAAGTTAGTGGACAGCTTGAGAGGACTGGAAAAAGAGTAAGTCATTTTGTTTTTGATGCAACAGCCGTGATATTTTTTTCTTTGTGGTTCTTCACAGAAGATATTTGATGTAGGTTTTCACATGGAACACGGATGCGTGGGGTTATGGTTCAGGAACTACATCGTTGTACCAGTCACATCCTTGGGTACTGGCTGTTCTTCCGAATGGAGAGGCATTAGGTGTTCTTGCTGACACCACACTACGCTGTGAGGTGATGTGCCAATAATGAAAATTTTGTGTTCTTTTAGCCCTTGTATGTTTCCCTAATTTAACTTTCACACTTACCATCAATAAGCAGATTGATCTGAGGAAGGAATCAATAATTCAGTTCATTGCTCCATCATCGTATCCTGTTATGACATTTGGTCCATTTGCTTCACCCACTGATGTTCTGAAATCTTTATCCCATGCCACTGGTAATTTCCTAACCATTTTGGATTTGCTTCTTGATTCTCTTTTCTGCCATGATTCAATTGCTTTTTATGTGGATTTATCGTTAAGCGTATGCTTATTTCAAGTGTTACTGCATTTGGTCCATTTACTTATTGTGTGCATACATGAACAGAAAATATGATGTAAAAAATGGACTGATATCATTGTGTCGTACTTTACTGTTACAGCTGGAGTGTTTTTTTGGTGAATAAATCTTTTGTTTTTTGGGTTTTGGAATTGTTTTAGTGTTTTGATCTTTGAATTTTGGTGTTTCTGATGTTTTGATCTGGTGCTGCTTAAGTGATAAGTGGCTTTTGTTATGAGTAAGTAGAGAGGTTTGTTGAGAGATTAGTGATTAGAGAAATGGGAATGGGTGTGTATCCTCTTCCTTAGTGAACGTTAGCGGAGGGATTATGGCGAACTGACTAGAACGAACAACAAAATGTTCAGGAAGAGGTGGGAAAATAAAAGGTAGATATCATGGAGTGGGCTGCATAAAAAATGGTGGCTTAACTGCAATGGAACAGTTGGAATCTTGTTAGGGTTACTCCTAAGATGATGGAGGCATGGGACTTTGCCAAAAACATAATTTGAGTAATTAGCATTACTGTGAAGCATCTTCCATTCATAATGGGTGGAAATCTTGTAATTTTAAAGCATTGGCTTTTTCTCTTAAAATTTGGAACACCTGCAGGCTGTCATTGCTAGATGCTACTTTGTGGATTAGAAACCATTCAATTAATGGCCGGAGTAGACATTAGGATCATAATTTAGTTTTGAAAAACTTCTGTTTTGCTAGGATCATAATTTAGTTTTGAAAAACTTCTGTTTTGCTAGTGATTTATGCTGTCACTTTCCTCAGGAACTGCTTTTATGCCTCCGAAGTGGTCATTAGGCTATCATCAATGCCGGTGGAGCTATGATTCAGACGAGAGAGTTCGTGAGGTGGGGATTTTTAGCATTCATGCATGTAAAATGTTGACTATCACAAGATTTCAAGCCAGCCTCCTTTAGTGATCATAATATTTTTAACTTTATAATCCCCAAAGTTTTCTTCACCTCATATCGGAGGCCCTCAGTTGTTTGATTTTTGTACTTCATTCATATTATTTGACATTGTATATCCTGTTACTGGCTGCTGAGCCTCTTAAATTTGCAGATTGCCAGAACTTTTCGGGAGAAGGGCATACCATGTGATGTTATCTGGATGGATATTGACTACATGGATGGTTTTCGCTGTTTCACATTTGACCAGGCATGTACTTTGCTTGATGATCGTTTTCTTGACAAGTTCATTGTATTTGATAAGAGGGTTTGGGTATTTTATTTGGGGTGGAAGGGAGTTTACTAATAGAGAGCCTGTCTAATATTATGGGGAAGGACATCAATTTAGTTCCCATGAAGAGAAGATATCGGAAATATTTATCAAATTATAATTTGTCATATTCTAACTAATTTTTTCAGGAACGTTTTCGAGATCCACAATCTTTGGTAAAAGATCTCCATGATAATGGTTTTAAAGCGATTTGGATGCTAGACCCTGGTATCAAGAAAGAAGAAGGTTATTTGACCTATGACAGTGGTTCTCAAAATGATTTATGGATCAAGAAAGCAGATGGAGAGCCATTTGTTGGTATGAATTTAACTAGCATGCTTTAGCAATTACCGTAATTTTCTTACTCTTATACAATATTGTCTGACAAGTTATGTTTTTATTGCCACTTCTAGGGGAGGTGTGGCCTGGGCCCTGTGTTTTTCCTGATTTCACGCAATCAAAAGTTCGCTCTTGGTGGGCTAGTTTAGTTAAAGATTTTACGTCTAATGGTGTTGATGGCATATGGAATGATATGAATGAGCCAGCTGTTTTCAAGGTGATTTTATTCTTCTTTCTCAAACCTTCCATTTTCTGGTTGTCTTTTCTTGGTCTCATTTGTTTGCTTTTCAGACTGTCACAAAGACGATGCCTGAGAGCAATTTTCATCAAGGAGATGAAGAAATTGGAGGTTGTCAGAATCACTCGTACTATCACAATGTATTCCCCCTAAATTATAATCTTTTTTTTCCTGGTAACATGATAATGATATCTAAGAATGGGATGCCAGCACTATAATACTATTATTTTCTTCATTTTTATGTATTCTTGCCAGCAACCTGACCGAAGAACTACTGGCTCTAATCTATAAATTGATTGCTCTTCTATGGTTTTGCTTGCATTCATCACTGTGGAGCAAATAATTTTTGAAATTCTAGTCATTTTTGTTGGTTTCTTATTTATAGGTATATGGCATGCTTATGGCAAGATCAACATATGAAGGCATGAAGTTAGCTAATGAAAAGAAGCGTCCTTTTGTACTCACGAGAGCTGGATTTATTGGTAGTCAAAGGTATGCTGCAACATGGACAGGTGATAACCTTTCAAACTGGGAGCACTTACACATGTCTATCTCCATGGTACTTCAATTGGTAAGTAATTTGATCCTGTTGTTTACCCATTGAGAAGTACGCAAATTGACTTCTTCTTTTTTGCCTTTTAGTATGTTATAAGTTGTGTTTATCTATCTCATATGTCTACCCAGATCCTCACACCATCATTGTTGTAAGTTATGCTTTGATTTTCTTTTCCTGCCAAGGCCAGATAGTCATTTCCTAACAACTTCTCTTTCAGGCCATGTGTAGCTGGTAACCACATGGATTTGACCATTCTACCAAATGTTGGAAATATTAGTACTTGGTTTTGCTCCTTTAGAGAGAGAAACTTTGGTTAGAAAGGGAAACTGTTTTCTATTAGGAAATGAAATTAAAATTTTTATTTTCTCTTCTTGCTATATGATTATTTGCTCTAATTTCAGTTTTGCACTATGGATAGGGACTCAGTGGTCAGCCACTCTCTGGACCTGATATTGGTGGATTTGCTGGAAATGCAACACCCAAGCTTTTTGGAAGGTGGATGGGTGTGGGGGCTATGTTTCCTTTCTGCCGTGGGCATTCTGAAAAGGGCACAAATGATCATGAGCCATGGTCTTTTGGGGAACAGGTTGGTTCCACATGCTGGCAATTTGATAACAATCTTTCGCTTGTTTCTTTCTTGTGATATGAATGTGGATGTTTTGTTTTGATATAGCATAGTCTGGAGCAATTGACACATGGCTGCATAGGCAAGAAAATTGTTTTATGTGTTGTAACTGCTAAAAGCTTACCTCTTACATACCTTCCAGAATCACATTACTTGTTAAGATCATATGTTCTCGCAGGGTTGTTCACATTCATAATATTTCCATATTGCTGGTACATGTAGCTAATTTTTCTCATCTGCATGCAACTTTTATTGCATACTAACTTTAGTTCCACTAGTGTGAAGAAGTTTGCCGTCTAGCATTGAAGAGGCGTTATCGACTTCTACCACATATATACACTCTGTTTTATATGGCTCACACAGCAGGTACCCTGGTGGCAACCCCAACTTTCTTTGCTGGTATGTCCTTGTGCAGTTGAATAAACTTGCTTCATTTAAGGACCTTCAGAATGTTCTTACATATTCATTATGGTCACTGATAGTTGCCATGTAAATTGCCGGTACAGATCCAAAAGATCCTGGCTTAAGGACCACCGAGAATTCCTTCCTTCTGGGTCCTCTTCTTGTCTATTCAAGGTTCTCATTCTATTTATTTAAAGAGGCTACTAACTTAAATGTGTTTGATTGACTTGATTTCCTCTCACGCCATGTGACCTGGGTTGTAGGTTCTAATTTAAATTGTTAATTATAGATGAATAGGCCATAAGAGGCAGCGGGGTTATTGGCAGCTATGTTATCAGTGGGAAGGTTCATTGAGGACTAAATTATATGCACTGTATACAGTTTGGAGATCTGTTAGCTGATGCCTTTATTAACTGTCTTGATGATAAAATGTTCCCTCTATTTCCTGCAAGATGTGCTCGAGAGATACCTCATACCTGTGCTGTTGTGCACATTTTGGGGGGCAGTGTTGGTAGCATTTTATGTAATACTGTATATTTTTTGGCTTCAATTGTAAAATTCTTCTAAGTAGAATATGCTTGTGCAGAATGATAGCTCTGTACGCATTGAGGAACAGTAACAATGTCTTCATCTTCACTTGTCATATGTTGTGTTGTCACTAGGGTGGTAATTGGTAAAGAGTGTTGCTCTTTGTAGATAGCATTGTCTGTACTAACGCTCTTTTATCTGCTTTAGCACCATTGCTGATCAGGGAATAGATAAATTGCATCCAGTGCTGCCCAAGGGAATCTGGTTGAGATTTGATTTTGATGATTCACATCCGGTATCTATTATTCTCATCTTGCTCTACTTCATTTAGTTATATCTTTTTACTTACCTTTATCTGTAACAGGATTTACCAACATTATATTTGCAAGGAGGATCGATAATTCCTTTGGCTCCCCCTCATCAGCATGTTGGTGAAGCTAATCTGTCAGATGACTTGACGCTCCTTGTTGCTTTAGATCAAAATGGTATTTCTCGCACATGTTGAATTTTATGAAGGGCAAATGTTGAATTGTTTGCTTAAAGATGTAAAGTTATTGGTGTTGAATTTTATATGGCCTCATAATAGAAAGTTTGATCTATTGGACCTCTTAAACTCCTAATTCAATTCACAAGCTTGCAAGTTAGACCTTGGCAAGCCACAAAGTTTATGTAGTGTTAAGCATAGTGAATTACTGTGCTCTGATAGTTGAAGCTTTTAGAAAACGAGTAATGTACCCTCCCTCCCCTCCCTCCCTCCCTCCCTCGAATGTACAGAACTTGAACGTTTTTTTAAGTACGTACCGCAATTCACATACAAGTATTGGGAATTGGATAAGTTTGGGGGAAGTATCAGTCCAAAAACCCCATACAAACACAATCAGTTTTTCTTTCTTGGAACTGGTAAGGGACATTTTTTAAGGCCTGTCTCTACTGTTTTGTGAAGCTAAAAGTTGGTTGATAAAATCTTCCTTCTTATTCACGTGTGCATGTGTGTTTGTGGGAGTGTGTGTCTTGATGGATTGGTTTGACCTTGCAGGGCTTGCTGAAGGAGTACTATTTGAAGATGAAGGTGATGGATATGAATTCACCAGAGGTGGATATCTGTTGACACACTATGTTGCTGAACTTAAATCTTCAGTTGTTACTGTCAGAGTTTCCAAAGTAGAAGGATCATGGAAGAGGCCCAAACGCCGTCTGCATGTGTGCTTATTGCTTGGTGGATGTGCAATGGTATGTCTTCTGTTCTCAATGAACATTCTTAGAGCACACTTGGCATTCACCGTAATCTACCACTGGTGAAGCTTATGTTTAAAATATTTATCAATCTCTTTATCCGTGAACAGCTTGACTCATGGGGCATGGATGGAGATGTCCTGAAAATCAATATGCCCACAGAAGTTGAAGTTTCTACACTGGTGTCCGCCAGCGAGAAACAATACAGGACTCGGTTAGGTATTGTTACTTCTTTCGGGCCGTCAGTATCCTCTATTTTTCATCATTTTGTAGATTTTTAAACATTAGTTGACAGATGCATGTACTACTTTTTAATCATATAGGCTCATAATTCTGGTTGGTTACGAACTCATCATTTTTCTTCTCTAGTCTACTCTTCATTTTGGTTTTCATGAAGAGAAGATTTACTTTTCTTAGGGCATATGCATTCATATATGGACCAGAATAGACTATTCTCCTTTATTCTTGCAATTTCGCTTGCAGATATCCGTCGTTGTATGTCTCATTCATTCTCCCAAGTCTAGTTGTTTTCCTTTGGTAATCATATTTGGATGGCCATGAGCCCATGATGCCCTCCAAGGTTAGGTTTTCTGTGTGTTTAATGGTTTTCAGTAGGATAGACGCTGATGGCTTATTGTAGATGTGGAGGCTTCTTGTGGTTTCTAACTCTGCCTTTTATGTGGTATTGCTATATTCCGTTGATTCTTTTCCATTATGGTGGCTAAGATGTGGGAATGATAGAAATCATTTTGTGTCTTCTTAAGAATATTAATGTAGCTATTAACAGATCTTAGGTGGATGAGCTGTCATTCCACGAGTCCAAATGCATCACATAGTTCTTTCCAAACGCTAATTTTTATTTTTTATTTTTAAATCAGTTTTGTCCCCTCATAGATAACTTTTTAACTGCAGAATGTGCTAAGCATATTCCAGTGGAGGAAGAGATTTCTGGACCCAAGGGAGTGGAGCTTTCAAGGGTCCCTATTGAATTGAAAAATGGTGATTGGACTGTTAAGGTAGTTCCCTGGATTGGGGGCAGAATTATTTCCATGGAGCACCTTCCCTCAGGTAACGGTTACAATCTCAGCAAAACTTCTGGCCAAGGACCTCCTAATATGATCCAAAAGCTCACTTTCTCCTTTTATTGGAAATGATTGAAGGAACACAGTGGCTTCATAGCAGGGTTGAGATTGATGGATATGAAGAGTATAGTGGCATTGAGTACCGGTCTGCAGGATGTTCTGAAGAATATAATGTCATCGAGTAAGTTGTTGATGACTAATTTCATTGTAGTTTTTATCTTTAAAACAGAATGATTCCAGTTCAATTCCTTTCTGATACAAAGCCTAATACTTCCATGTGACTGAATATTCAAGTGGTGATATGTGATATTGTAGAGAAAATGAGTGAGTTATTAACTCATATAACTGATAAATCAAAGAAAAATTCTTGATTTCCTCGAGAATTTGTTTTATTGTCAGATCATCAATCATTGAAAAAAATAAAAAAATCTATGCTTGTTGTGTGGGCCAAATTTATCAAGTTTTTTTCAACATGGATTGTTTGACCTTACTGATGCACTTTGGGGACCCCTGTAATGCTTTTATTCTGTTTGCTTATACATGAAAATAACTGCAGTCACTGCCTTTTTCATGTATCTTCTCGATACCCATGTTTATGCTTGTAATCTTTGCATGTAGGCGGGATCTTAAGCATGCAGGAGAGGAGGAATCTCTTATTTTAGAAGGTAATATTGGTGGAGGGTTGGTTCTTCAACGGCAGATATCTATACGAAAAGATAACCCAAAGATTCTCCGCATCGACTCTGGCATCGTAGCCCGCAGTGTTGGTGCTGGTTCTGGTGGATTTTCAAGGTTAGATCCAGAAACATTCCTTATTTATGATGATGTCAATTGCTTCAGCTACCTTTACGAGGATCTGTACTCTTAAGCTGTCTTTGCATCAACCCGTGTTCAATCCATCACATGGAGATATTGTTTCTGTTTGTCAATCATAGTAACCTATTTATGTGATAGCATCTATCATTATGTTATGCTCGACAAATAAGTCGGAAAATTATGAAGTACGAGAGCTTAAACTTCACAAGCTGTTTTGAAGTTTTTTACTAGTAGATGGATTCTGGAATTTGTTCAGAAATTGCAGGTTACTTTGCTGTTTCTCTACAAAATCAGAGTCTTCTCACTTCAGCTAATCTTGAAAAAGTTCATTTTCCTAATATCTTTCTACTTCATTTTTTCTCTACAAGATTGCACTCTTTCACCTCAGAAATCCTTCAAAACACTCATTTTTCCTCATATTTACTCATTTGAATATTCTTTATTTCTTAACTTTCTGTTTGGTTCTCCTGTATGTGTAATGTGTACTAGGGCTGTAAGCCTGTAACCCTTTCTTTTAATCATTATACACAAGCATGTGCCAACGTGTACATAAAGCCATGAATACTAAACTATTGTTATTTCTGTTTTGTAGACTGGTTTGCTTAAGAGTACACCCAACGTTTACTCTCTTGCACCCCACTGAAACTTGTGTCTCATTCACCTCCATTGATGGATCAAAACATGAAATTTGGCCTGAATCTGGGGATCAGTTCTATCAAGAGAATCTTCTGCCTAATGGTAAGTTTTTTGTCACCCTATTTTATGTGGATATTTTCTATACAATTTTTTAGCAGAAAAGGAAGAATGTAAATGGAAATGAAAGGAATAAGGAAAGAAGCCACGAGGTCGAGCAAAGTTGGCAAAGGACTATTGCTTACAAAGCTGATGTCCTGAAGTTGACTCAAGTCTCTGCTGCTAATCCCTCTAGGGCAAATTAAATTAAGAAGTAACAATCCTCGATGTTTGCGGAAATCACTGTCATCAGTCATCCTTCGTTGGCAAAGGACTATTGCTTACAAAGCTGATGTCCTGAAGTTGACTCAAGTCTCTGCTGCTAATCCCTCTAGGGCAAATTAAATTAAGAAGTAACAATCCTCGATGTTTGCAGAAATCACTGTCATCAGTCATCCTTCATATTTACAAAATCACCAAAATCGCAATGCTAAAACTTCAGTTATTGTAGGTATAATGAAACAGTATAAAGTAGTAGTCAGTGTAACACTGTGATTATGGTAACCTCAGCAGTGTTCCAGCCACTAATCATTTTGTTTATTTTTACAAGAACTGCTGGTCGATCGAAGTACCATAGTTTATTGAGCGTGTTTTCATAGTGCATATATTTAGCGTAATAATTTTCGTATACCTTAATATCATCCATCGCCTTTCTTTCAGGTGAATGGATGCTGGTCGATAAATGTCAGGGTTTGGCTCTAGTCAATCGGTTTAACATCAATGAGGTTTATAAGTGTTACATCCATTGGGGAACAGGGACAGTAAATCTGGAGCTTTGGTCTGAAGATAGGCCTGTTTCAAAGGAATCACCTCTCATGGTTTCCCATGGGTATGAGGTGAGAGGAATCTCTTAGTTACTTATATAAGAGATGCGTGCAGAGATACTCAGCCAGCAGAGTAAAATTGTGAAGTCTTAATAATGCATCAAAACTTCTCTTGTGGAAGTCCGGTAAAATGGATCAGATTGAAGGCAAATGCATGGGCAAAAATTGAAGGCAAAGTTAGGTGCTCAGATTCTTCCTTTTTCCTGGCCTTTTCTTTCTCGAGCAAGTAAATTCTTTGTGCTTCAGGCACAGCCAAAATGATTGTATGTAGCTTGATGTTCATCTCCTCCTCCTTTTCCATGAGCCTGTCATTTGTTAACATCCCTAGGCAGACACTTTGATTGGTATCCCAGCTTTCCATCAATGGCAAAGCAATAATCCCTGTCGATCCAATAGTACCCCATGCTATAGCAATAACTGTCCAGAATGTGAAGTAGCCTAAACTGAATTCACCTGCATAATGAACACTGTTTGAGTACAAACCAATATTACCAACCAAATCGAAAGACTTGTGAACAAAACATTAGGCAGTTTCTTTCTTTCTAAAAAGTTCTGAACTTTGCTTGTTGAGACAGCACAATATCAAAAATTTCGAAGTGGTTGAAATGACCTGCTGGCCTGGGAGTGAGCGGCCATGGTATAACAATCACCACAGTAAAACCAACACTTCATTTAATTATCCAGGCTTTTTGCCCTTTTGAGTTTCTCCTGCTAGAACTCTTCAGCTGGCAACTCACTCTTTTCCTTTTCAACCATTGTGATCTGCTTGGTCGTATCCCAATCATAGTTTTGTGGCCATAAAAAACTACAGGTAGCATGAATTGCTCCACCAGTAAGTATTGGCACAAAAGGTTACCAGCAAGCATTGGTGCATTTCGCCCAGTTGTGTCAAGATTTATCCGACCATACTCTGTCTTCGTAACTACTAACCAAGTTATAATCCCAAGAACACATCCGATGATTGCTCCAAGATTGGCACCTATTGCATTCGCTTTCCTCCACAGAAGCATAAGGGCTATTAAGGACAGCAGAACCAATAAGAACTCCCAAGGCAAGATACATCCAACCCCGATGAAACTCCTACTTTGTTTAATATGACTGCTAACAATCAACACCCCTTGAAACTGTAAGGATTTCTTTCCCACTTGCATCTGGATTTATATAGCTACGGTATATATCGTAAGTGCATAGTGAAGAAACTGCAATCAGCTCAGATGACCCTGATCATTATAATTATACAACTGTTAAGATTGTCCCTGTGAAGTATGACTAGAAAGATGAAGCACGAGAAACCTCAAGCTAAGAATAAAATGTGCTTACATAAAAAGCATAGTGAGAAGTATGGATCCTCCCTTCCCCATAAAAGCTATAGCAGTAGCAGGAGGAACTAGTCCATGGCTAGCCTTGCTATCCGTTATTGGTAGATCAAGGGCAAGTGCTCCTAGACCCAGAGATGTTGCCAAAGAGAATGGCACAGCAAACCACACCAGCCCACCCAGCAAGTAGCCCTTGTGAGTTTGAGGAAGGTCTTGCAGCTCTCGCAGAAACCCAATATCTCTAAAAAAATTTGAACATCAATGAAGGTTGGGTAAAACAGCTTTGGAAGTTCTGGAAGCCACTGTGAAGAAGATGCTATGGGTGAATCATGAAGCTCACATTGTCAACGAAAACTGTGCCATAGTTGCCAACAATGTTTATCTTCCCGAACACAAAGCCCACCTGAACTCAACTTTTTGGGATACAATCCTCCTTTTCTTTTCCTTTTTTGCCAGCCTGCGCGGCACAGGCCTGGCTTGGGTTTCCTTTTCTTTTTTCTTTTTTTTTTTCCAGCAATTTATTTTTAATGTTTTTTTTTTTTGCTAAATTTATGAAAAAACAATAGTTAGTTTTTGAGTTTTTCATACAGTTTGGCGATATAAAAATATGATTTCTTCAATTTATCATATTTTATGAAAACATTCAATTAATTTCTTAATTTATTTTCTATATAATTTTATTTTTTGAGCAAATATGATTTTTTTTTTTTGTCCATATATGAATTTTTCAATAAATTTTAAAATGTTATTTTAAAAAAAATACATTAATATAATTTATATGATTAATTTATATGATTTTTAAATTAATTAATTATATATATATATATATATATATATATATATATATATATATATATATATATATATATATATATATATATATCATTTTACATTACACATTCTGAACTTATTAATTCTGAATTTATTAAGTATAGTCATGATATATAAAAAAAAAAATTCACACCAACCATTAACTATTTTTTTTCTTTTGAATATTTTAAAATTAAGTTTTTTCGAATAAAATAATTAAAATAATGTTTTAAAAAAATTATCTAATAATTCAAATATAGTTTTTAATGCTATCTTGTTTATTATTTTATGATTGAATACATATATAACAATCAAATGTACATGTTTTTAAAAAATAATCTTCTCAACAACATTAAATAAGAATAAAATTTTATTTTTTATTTGCTAATTTTAAACAAGTTTTGACATTAATTGTAGCTTTATGTTTTTTATACAATCTTATGGAAAAGATTGTTTTTATAAATTTCAGATTTAATTTGCTATTTAAATTGTTATATGTTTTTATTTAAGAATCAATGTGTATTAAAAAAAAACATTTTTTTTCAGTTGAAAAAGTATGAAAAACATAAGAAAGAATCAATTAAAAACAAGATTCTAATTAAATTTTTTTTTTAATTTTACCTTTTGATTCCATCTGTTTTAGTAGACTCTCAATATAGTGTAGAATATTAAATTTAAATAATTTTATTTTATCCGATCCGTAACATAATACGAGCTAAATTATATTTTAAAATTTTATATATAATTTAATTTTTTAAATTGAGATATTTTTTAATATAATATTAAAGTTTTGATAATTAAACTGTCATAAACTCAAATTTTACATGTAATTTTTAAGTCAGAATTTTTATGTTAAAAAATAATATAAGCTGAAACCTAATTTTATTTAAATTATTAGATTAAAATATTTTTTGGACATGAAATATCTGCCAAATTCCATCCACCTTGATTATGTGACCTTTTTCCTTGTCGTGGCCTTATGGGTATGTTGGCATGAAAGAACACGTGAGGGCACGATTAGTTTCGCCGTTGTTTCTAGAACCAAACTGTTAGGTTCCTTCCACCTTAAAATTAAAGACCATCTAGGAAGGAGCAACTAGGATTGACCTTGACCATCAGGTTTCAAGGCCGTGCATCCCAAGCAAATTTAACAAATTTCCAAGTCAACGTAATAGGTCAACTGCAACACAAAAATATCCAGAAACTCTCTCCAGTAATAATAAAGCAGGAATTCACATTGGATTGCCAATTTTATCATTAACATTTTATTTTTTGTTTCGTTTTTTATTGCATTTACTTTTCAATAATTTTGAAAATATAAAAGCATAATTTAAAATAAACAGTTTAATATGTTATTATATAATAGCATGAGTTTTTAATCTGTTTTTACATTTTTAATTATATCTATTATGTTATTAAATAACGTTTAAGTTTTTAATATGTTTTTTCTATCATGAAATTTTTTTGATTGAAATACAAAATTAATTAAAAATTAAAGACTTCAAACATAAAATATATAGATCACGTCATTGTAAGTTTTTTTTTCAATAAAAAAAAATTACCTATAGTCTTAAAAATAAATTGAAATTGTAAATATTATTTAAAAATATATGAAACATAAAAAAAAAAAAAAAAAGTTGAACATTTAGATTATTATATAACACATATAGAATATTTTTACATTCTGAGCTATTTTAAACTGATAAAAAAAAAAACATTTTTCAAAGAAGAGAAGTAGAAAACGCTACAACGTCAAATTCTGAATCTCAATTATGGACCAAAGCATAGATTTTTTTCTTTAAATCTCTTTTTACATCTTCCCCTGTATAATATACTAGCCAGTTGCTTGCAGTGCGCTGCGTGTCTGGTTCAATAAAATTATTTTAAAAAATTTTTTAATTATAATTTCATATTTAATTAATTTTTTTATAAACTTTTTGCTTAAAAGAACATAAACCATTCTTTTGTATAGATTGATTTTAAATAAAATATCAATCAAGAATTAAAAAAAAATTAAATATATTTTTCATAATATTGTATTAAAAAATAAAATTATAATTAATAAACAGACTTTAATAAAATAAATAAATGGAAGAAAAATTCTTATTTAATGCTGATGAGAAGATTAATTTTTGAAATTATCCACGTAATACAACGGGTAGATAAAACAAAATCATTTCCAAATTTTATAGTTTTTTATTTTTTATTTAATTATTACTATTTTTTTGTTTTTCATATAATTTCTGCTTAAAAAAAAAAAACATGATTTATTTTTCTTTATTTAGGAATTCCTAAATAAAAACTTGTAATATATAATTTAAACCTAAAATATTAATTAAGAATTTAAAAATAAATACTTTAAAAATATATTTTTTATAAGAATATATCCAAAAGTAAAGTTACAATTAATGTATAGACTTGCATAAAACTTAACCAATAAAAAAATAAAAAATTATTCTTATTTAATGTTGATGAGAAGATTATTTTTTTTAAAGTACATATATTTGATCTATACATATTATATAATCGTCGATTAGTGTGAAAAAAAACTAATAATTGATTTTTAAAAATTTTAACGCTCAATTAAATAAAAAAGAACATAATTTAATGGAAATATCAAAGAAAAAAAAAGGCATGTAGTGCATCGGCTAGGGATTAAAATTTTTTATTTTAAAATTTCAAGGTTCAAAATGAAATGATTTGAAAATTAAAAAAAAACCTACAAAAAAAAAAACTAAGAGTGAATTTAAAAAAAAAAAAGGAAAAGAAAAAAACCTAAGTATAAATAGTACATTGTGAGGGTTAAAAAAAAAAAAAAAAAAGAGTGAATAGTACATTATGAGGGAGAGAACAGTATTGTTTTATAAAAACAATGTATAGATTTGCAAAAACTTTAAAAATATATTGTTTTATAAGAATATTTCAAAAAAATAAAATAAAATTATAATCAATGTATAGATTTGCATAAAAATTAATCGGTGCAAAAATAAATTTTTATTCTTATTTAATGTTGATGAGATGACCTTTTTTTTAAAGTATATATATATAGTCGTCGGTTTATGTGAAAAAAAAAACAACGATTGATTTTTAAAAATTTTAATATCCTATTAAATAAAAAAATAAATTGATGGAAAAAATTAAAGAAAAAAGAAAAGAAAAGGCATGTAGTGCATCGGATAGGAATTAAAATTTTTATTTTAAAATTTAAAATAATTTTAGAGATCAAAACGAAATAATTTGAAAGGTAGAGAAAAAAACGTAAAAAAAAAAAAAAAAAAAAAAAAAAAAAAAAAAACTAAGAATGAAAATTACAAACAAAAAAATCAAAACAAAATAATTTGAAAATTTAAAAAAAAAAGTTAAGAAAAACAAAAAACTAAGAGTGAAAATTACAAAAAAAAAAAAATTTAAAAAAGTAAAAGTGAATAGTACATTGTGAGGGTGAACAAAAAAAAAATGAACATTACATTATGAGGCGAGTGATTTTTAAAGTATATACATTTGATCTGTATGTATTATATAATCATCGACTTGTGTGAAAAAAATAATGATCGACTTTTAAAAATTTTAACACTCAATTAAATAAAAAATATAAATTGATAAAAAAAAAAAAAAGCAGAAAAAACCAAAAAGAAAAGAAAAAACTTATAGTGCATTAGCTAGGGATTAAAATTTTTATTTTAAAATTTTAGAGGTCAAAATGAAATAATTTAAAATTTAAAAAAAAAAACCTAAGGAAAAAACTAAGATTGAAAATTACAAAAATGAAAAAAAATAATGTAAAAAAAATAAAAAACTAAGAAAAAATAAAAAATCTAAGAGTGAAAAAAAAAACAAAAAACAAAAAACAAAAACAAAACAAAACTGTATGGAAGGGATCAGTGAGGGACAAAAACGCATAAAAGAAGGGCAAGAAGAAATACGAAAAAAGTTTGAAGAAATAGAATCTGAATGCCACAAACTCAAAGAGGAGACTATGAACATAGCCAAACAGAGCGATTGCAACCAGATCAGGATCAATCTAATGTTTGGCATTGTGAAAGCACGTCAAGATAACAACTTTGCCCAGGCTGATCACCTTACTCAGCTCCTCCGGTTTGTTAAATTTTCTTTCACTGCTTTTCTTTATTAATTTTTGGGATATGCGAGATTTAATAATTTTGCTAGCTATATATGAAAGTAGTCACAAAGAAAAAGTTGACAAACTCTAAATAAAATCAAAATATATTGTTGATAATTTTTTTCCTGTTTCCTATTTGCTGTGTTGCTAGTGAGGAAATGGAAAAGCAGAAACAAGGAAAGCCAAGCCTTGGCTAATTGTGGATGCCCACCAGCCTATGACTGATTATGATGAAAAAACAACGATCCTTTAGCATTCCCAGTGACTCTTTATCGTCTTTATTGTTAAAATAAAATCAGAAGTAGATCATATGTAATGACATTAGTCATCCCTTAAAATCCTGTTTGTCTTCTGCTTATCTTCTTCTTTCAACTCATGACGATTAAGTTTTTACTTTAAAACATTTGCATTCTCTGTTCAGAATTGAATGTTTTGAGTTATATATATATATATGCCTTTTTTTCCAAATTGGCAATATTTCTATCACGGATATATGGTATGATTTCGTGAAAGAGGGCTTCGATTATGAAATTTTGCAAGGCATATATGCTAGAGGTTTGCAAGAAGAGATTAAGAAAGTGTCTCCTTTGACTAGGAAGTGTGAGAACTAAAATATTGAAAAGAAGATACAAGAATAGAGAGCTAAGCGTAACAAGAGGCAGAAGAGGAAAAATATCCCTTAGGCAGGCTAAAAAGGACTGGCTCATGGCTGTGTTAAACAATGAAAAAGTCCAATATTCCCACTGCCGAACAATAGACCACAGGTCCTACAATGGCGGTGAAGAGTACAATAATGGGGGAGTTCAGTGTTCATCTGGACAGTAACAATGAACTCCGCGTTTTAGTTATATAAAGAATTAACTTGTCAGCAGTTGGTTGCGTCGTAATTACGAAGCATATGCATGATTACTTGGCCCATACAAATACGACTCCAAGAAAATGGACTGTGTCAAATCGGGCTGCTCCGCCTTCCCTTTCCTCCTCGTTTCCAATTTCTCATTCAGATTGCAAATATCATAGGCCTATACAACTATATAAGTACTCGTTGTAAAAAACAGCCTCCATCATACAACAACAACACTAATTAAACAAGATTACAGTATTTTCCTTCAACATTTCTCTCATCTTTTAAGTATGAGTCAGCTCCCAGCGACAAAAGTGTCCAGGTTGCTTCTGGGGCAACTTGGCCCTCGTTTCTTGTCAAACTCAGCAGGGTTTTCCAGGCCTGCAACTACAGGCAAGAGCTCAACCATATTTGCTTTTCCTGGGGTCCGACATTGGAGTGCTTCAGCACCGTCTGGTGTGCCAGCAGAAGAGGAGAAACCAAAGGCAGCAGCAAATTCATTTACTACAGAAGATGGCAAGGCCATAGTGAGCTATTGGAGTGTGGCTCCCCCTAAGATCACGAATGAGGATGGCACAGCTTGGAAGTGGAACTGCTTCAGAGTATGTGCATGTATATTAATTCACTGCTGCAAATTTCAAACTTAATTTTACTGAACATAGTTTGCTTGTCTGTTCAAAAATTTAAGCATTTTCGATTTCTGATCTGCAGCCATGGGAGTCCTACGTACCTGACACCTCAATTGATGTGAAAAAGCGTCATAAGCCTGCTACAACCATGGATAAATTTGCATACTGGACTGTCCAAGTTGCCAAATATCCCACCTACTTATTCTTCCAGGTACCTCTCCTATAAAATCTTTTGTTGTGCCCAAGTTTATATACTGCACTTCAACCATCAGAATCTAATAATTTCTGAGGTAAATTTTCATTGATTTTGACAGAGGCGGCATATGTGCCATGCCATGCTCCTAGAGACAGTAGCTGCTGTTCCAGGAATGGTTGGAGGGATGCTCTTGCATTGCAAATCGCTACGGCGTTTCGAGCAAAGTGGTGGCTGGATAAAAGCTCTATTAGAAGAAGCTGAAAACGAGCGGATGCATCTTATGACCTTCATCGAACTAGCTAAGCCCCAGTGGTACGAACGTGCCCTTGTGTTTGCTGTCCAAGGTGTCTTCTTCAATGCTTATTTTCTGGCATATTTAGCCTCTCCAAAGCTTGCACATCGCATAGTAGGGTACTTGGAAGAGGAGGCAGTGAACTCCTACTCGGAGTTCCTCCAGGACTTGGACAGTGGTAATTTCGAGAACGTGCCTGCCCCTGCCATTGCCATCGACTACTGGCGCTTGCCCCCCAACTCCACACTTCGTGATGTTGTGGCTGTTATAAGAGCTGATGAAGCACATCACCGTGACCTTAACCACTATGCATCGGTAAGAATTTACACTTGCTTACGCAAAAATTGCTGGGCCTGTAGGTGGCATCTGTGGTCAAGTTTATCTGATTTGATTAAATTTTTAAATTTGCAGGACATTCAATGTCAAGGACATGAGTTGAAGGATACACCTGCTCCTATTGGGTATCATTAAATCTTGAAAGCAGCCCTGTACTTACGAAAATGTATACAGATATTGCACTTATATACTCTCAATACCATTAGATTCTTTCCACTTAGTACTAGGGTATTCTTGAAGGCTGGATTTGTAGCCTTTACTGTGAGTAAATTTTTTCTTTTCTTGTCTTTGAATATGGTCGGCCTGGTTCTTATGCTACAGTTAAACGAACCAAGTGAACCGTTTGACATCATGGAGACCATATAAACTTTCAATAATGCCATATACCGTGTGAGAATTTTCTATAGAAGAACTGCTATCTGTACCTGTTCAACTTTCTCTAGGAAACTACTGCCACTGCCACAAAATTTTGATTCTGGACAGTGGGATATTATCATAAACACCAGCTCTGGGAAGAGAGCAAATAAAGGAAAAATGTACAGTATGGTATTACACGTGATGATGGATTTCATGCGCTATATACAGCTTTGGATACAATTTGTGCAGGCTATATAACATCTAAGGCGTCTGCAAGGATTTTGTGTCCATCCATGAGCAGAAAAATGGTCTGTGCCGGAGAAGGGGCAACTCACCATGACATTGCTGGTTTTACGCACGTAAAATTTTACACATTGTAAGTTGCACCTGACTCTGTAAAGCAGCCTTCTATTGCTTTTAACATGGACATTGTGGTATAATAATCTTGGGGACGTTTCCATTAGCGTGCAAGACTTGCCCCCTCCAAAAATCTCAATTCTGCCAGCACATACAGACTTCGGGTTGCCGTGTGATTAGAGCATGATTAATGAGCGTTTTTCTGAATTTGAAAGCCAAGTTTTGACCTATCGCTATCAGCACCATCTTTCTTTGCAGATAAATTAGCGGTTACCCTTTCTTTCATAGCTTCCTTTTCCAATTTCTTCTTTTCAGCATCAGCCTGTCTTTCATTCTCTTCTCGTGACTTTTTGAACATTTTAACAAAAACAACCAAGATTTGTGTCACTGCAAAATGAAAGCATAACCAAAGGAACACCAATTAACATCATAGTCCTTATGAAACTCATCTCTCTGAGATAGCAAGATAAAGCGAATACAAATTCAAAACCCCCAAAATGACAACCGAGAATTATTGATTGTGTTAAATCATTTATTTTTATAGTTCAATATAGAAGAATCAGCAATGATCCATTCAATCAGAAACTCATGCTAGAGAAATAATCAGAGCATGTCAAATCACGCACCAATTTTGCACAAATGCCAAAAAACAACATCAAGTGAACTATACTGCACCAAATGAACAAAAAAGGAAAATGAAAAGGCATTGGTATCAAACCTTGTTCAAAGGGACAACGAGCCGGATCCTCTCCAAAGTACTGGGACAAGGAATCTGCATTTCTTCCCTGAAAGATAAAGAATGAGAAATTTAGGGATAAAACCAGCATTACATATGGTAACTAAATAGTACAAACAGCTAAAAGAGTTTTGAGGGCTTACCACTTCAGAATATAATGAGATAAGCGACCTTACTTCAGATTCAGCAGTGTCAAGGAAATTCTTCAAGACCTGTAAAAGAGGAAAATGTTAGTTCAAGAGACGTAAATAAATATATCATTTAAAAGCAAATTGTACTTGAGGTTATCTTTATGATCTTAAAGTAGTAACCACGCATCTGTATTATTGCTCACCTTTTGAAAGCCAGCAGAGATGGCGCCATCATTTACTGAAGTAGTGAGTTCTTGTTCAACCTTTTCAAGGCCTTTACTCACAGCTTGCATTTCTTCAGCCAGAGTTTTCAATTGAATCTAGTAATTCAAAGCAGATGGAAACAATTGACAAATATAGCATATCAGCTTTACTAGCTATCAGTAAGTTACAAGGAATCAAAGAAGAAGTTAGTGCTAAGAATCTGTAAAGGATACCTTAGAGGCAGCTTCTAAATGAACAAGGTCCTTATCAAAGTCTAGCAACTCTGGCAATTTCTCAGCAAGGAGCTAAAATCAAGACAGCATAATAATTAAGGTATCCCATAAATGTCCATACCATTAAAAGAATATGTGGAAATTTTACAACTGTGGGACACATCTAAACTGATAAGAATGAATTAAACACCAGCGAAAAGGTCAATCATATATAAAATACAACAACATTAAACAATCAGAATAGAAACAGGCAAAGTGTATAATCTAAACCTATTTATGATGATTTAAGCATCAAGCTTGGAAGAACACTGGCAATCACATTTTCTGTTCTTTTGTTAGTAAACAAATCAACAAGAAAATGACTAAAAATGAGTACATGTTTAATGTTAAGATATTAGAGGCAACAAAAAAACAACCCTAGTCACAACTCACTCGGCTAACAAGGTGATAATTTTAAGTTTCTAGTTTAAGCTCATCTACCTTGCACAAATAGTGCATTAATGTCATTTTGTTGTTTCTTGCACGAGTATCAGATAATTTAAGAAGGCTGTCCAATTTGAATCCAACAGCAGATCCTGCAATAAAGAGAAGTAATACCAAATGAGAAGGCATTATAAAAGAAGAGGCATAAGGCTAACAAATTTAAACAAAAGAAACTACAGCTTCCACTAGCAGAGTTTTACCTCGTGCAGTGCCCTGATTCAGAGCATTTCCCAAAGTGAGAATTGTTTGCATTATCTGACGCAATTTCACAGATTCTTTTACCTGAAAGTACATGTGGCATTTATTATGCAGAACAAACAAATATTCATTTTTCTATTTCATAACCAATTATTTTTAACGATACCTCTCTAGTAGCATCATTAATGCTATTCAGATTTCGTCTCAAATCATCCACCTGAGGAGAACATATGATAGATACCAATTTATTTCACATTGATAGCATTCTGAATCAAATATGAATAATCCAGAAATATACCTGACTAGAAAAAGTAATTCTGAACGCAAATACTCGTAACTTAGCCTCGACCCGTGGAACCTTCATCAGCTCCAGGAAAAACTGAACAACAAATTTTGTTAGCCATTCAGATACAGGCTGTGCATCCATTCAGGTAACAGCATTAGAAATTACCTGTTCACACTTTCCAAGCATTTCCTTCTCACCTGTATAATTCTGCAAAATCATAACAAGAGCATGTAAGTAACAATAAATAAATAACACATTGTCTTTGCAGTGCAAATGAGCTTACCAAATTTACATGACTCATATGTTCAACATAAATGGATGATATATTTTTTAAATTAATTAATCTGCTAAGGTTTTGCTTTGTTTATAGATAGTATCACCAATATCTAATGGGTTAATTTTGTTGTTAAGAAAACTTGGGTTTTGATTTATAAACATTTTCAATTGTACTTGAGGATTTATCTAAATTCATGCCATGTTAGCTCTAATTAGCCATCATCACTATATAATATCTCACACCATACCTAGCAGTTAATAGTACACATTTTCCATTTCCCCTTACCAAAAACAAAATAAACCAGCATGTATTTTTATCTCTGATAGAATAAAGGACATGCTAAACTTCAGCTCCAAGCTTAATAGTAATAAAAAAATAAAAATAAAAATAAAAAAAGCCAAAAGGCTCGCTTTAAACTGCAGGAATTAGTTTCAAGCACGATAAGCAACATCTGAAACATCCAAGGAGCACGGCATGCATTCCAGGTGTGCTCCAGAAACTGGAGCCCAAAACATCTCTAACAAAGTAAAAGTGAGAATATTATTATGCTTTACAAATATTTTGTGTACTACCACAGAACTCTTATACTGAATTATTACAACTTACAGAAGACTAACAAATCATTGTAATTTGCACATCAAAGGAATAAATGTACTGTTCCTTTTTCTCTTTCTTTACTTTGTAGTTGTTTCTTTTTCTAGTTTAGTTTCACTACATTCAACATTATTACTCTTTAATAACATTTTTTGGTTATATCTGAAAACAATAAAGTTGCATATCTTTAATTATTGAATTTCTAGTCCATAGCCTTTTCTATTTTTCAGATTCATGAGTTAAACACAAATAATCAAATGCAACAAAGTAGTATGTATAAGCTTATATGATATATTGTCAGATGATTTAAAAATAGATTACCCTCAGCGTCTCCATTTCTTCCTTGGTAGGACAAAATTTGATGAGATTCTCAACCTGGTCAATGTCTAAAACTGAAGAGTCCAAGGCTAGAACTGCATTCTGAATATACAGATAAGATAAAAATTAGGAAAACTAAATTCACATTCCAAGGCCGCTGAGTGGTACAAAGTGTAAAATAGCTGAGAAGAAAGATGGACTTACAATCATGTCTGGCAAAGGAATTTTAATCTTTGTGAGCATTATTTCACAATTATACGCTCTACGCAAGTCTACCTGCAGAAAGAAATACAACGAAAAACTCAAGTCATGACACAGATAACTCTTGTACTTCTAAAATCAAAGGGGAGATATTTCTCGATGAAAGTAGGAAGAGTTAAGAGCATTCCCTTTTACCGGTTATGTTCAGTAGATGGTGCATTTAAACGTCAGTGAGAAAGTGAAAATATGAAGCATCATCAAATCTAGCTGTTGCACCACAGCAGACTAGCTCGTTTTCAATTTTGAAATAATCAATCCCACTACCGGCATGGTACAGGGAAATCAAATGTCAAATTCCAATCGTAGGCAGTAACAATAAGTAAAATTCAATGTTTTGCATGAAAAGACCTTACTGCTTTGTAATTTTGACAATGATGACAGCAAAAGTAGCAGTAGAAGAAAGAAAAGTGACTCTTAACACGCATGTGAACACACAAAAAAGGAAGAAGATTTCTTGGTGGGTGTGACTATATCACTGGCTTTGAAGCATTATCTCACTAGTTCAAAGGATTCAACACTACTTCTTTTATGTGATGATGTATAAACCAGCTCAGTATCAAATTTAACTTGTAAGCATAATACTCTTGTTTGGGAACTACTGTGCAAAAGGAGCAAAGATAGGGTTAAGAAGGTCAGTTATTGGAAGGTGTCTTATGATGTCACTAAATGCCAAGCATTCAATTCCTTGAGATTATTCAACTGGCTCCAGAGTTCCATACTTTTATTGTTATTTCATTATCACTTCGTTGTTTCTAGTGGTCTTGCTTCTTACTTTCACATAGTGAAAATATTTAGTCTGGTGTTCATCACTGAAAAAATTTAGTTCGTTGGACACAGCACACCGATTAACCAATTCTAGATTCATTTTATGATTTAATTCAAGCAGAAAAACCTTGAGTTCAATCCGAGGGAAAATGTAGTGATCAATTAAGTATGGCTTGCCCGTCATACACAGCAATATGTGGAACTTTGGATTGTTGCTTCCAAACTCTACGAATGTGTCAATTATGCTACATTATAATGGAGATTTTTCAAGCCAATTTTAGGACTTAATCCACAAAAGTAGAATTTAGATTTCAAATCCTACTTAGGAGGCAGCATAAACTAAGTTCCTTAGATCAGTCTTCATCACCTACCATATAGCCTTCAGCTTTGTCATGAAATTTAGTTACTGTTAGTTCTCAAGGTTAAGTTTCTGATATTATTCAAATTAAAAACTTATGTCTTATTTTATTTTTGAAAGAAAAATTGACGCTTTAAGTTCAAAAAGAAGACTTATTGTTTAAAGTTGCAAGTTATCCCATTGATTCTCGCTTTTTGAATATATATTATTGCAAAGTACAGAGAATTCAAACCAATACAGTGAAACAAGTGCACCCACTTAAAAAAATAAAACACCTTACCAATTGCACTTTCTCGGGTTTGTTGATGTTAGAACCACGTCGACCTCCAGCTTTATTACTGCCACTCCCATCCGAAACAGAGGCTGCTGAGAACAAACTTTCAAGTTCTGATATATCAATCTCAGGAGCCCTGCTAGAAACATTAAATGGGTGAGATAACCAACGCCAGCAGGATACATGCTATAACATATGGAGAGGAGGAAAAATAAAATGAGTGGTTGAATTACTAGAGAATTTCTAAATTCATTCAGTGAGTTCCATGCAAAATTTGCGAAGATGTGTCAAAGTTATTCGGTATTAAGGATATATGTGGTTGATCAGAGAGATAGCAAAGCTCGTATGTCATCTATGCATTTGATTCAAGTAACTCTTTACTGTTCAAGGAACCATTCACACGTATCATTAATTATTCAGAGCATCAAAATAAGCTATCATGCAGGCAATGTAAGGTTGATCTTTAATCATATGCACAAACCTTGATTGATTTTCTTGTTTTTGCGAGTCAGCCCACAAACTCCCTTGCATTGCTCGAGTAACTTTCACCCAATGCAGGGGCTTTAGAGAAGTTTTCTTAAGGGCACTACCAGCCCCACCAGCACTCCGAACTCTTCCTAAAGAAGCTTTTCCTCTTCCTGCAGATGGAGGTGGAGGTGGTGGCACGTTAGAGCCCTTTGCTTCAGGAGATGGACCCGGTGCAGTGGCACAACCAGGTGGTGGAGAGGGAGCTGCAGGAGGCTTGGGTGCTGGTGGCGGAGGTGGTGCTACAGACCTGGGGCGTGTAGGTCCTGAAGGAGGAGGAGGAGGTGGCCTTGGAGCATTAGTAGGGTTGTGACCAAAAGGAGGAGGAGGGGGAGGTGGCCTTGGAGCATTACTAGGGTTGTGACCAAGAGGAGGAGGAGGAGGAGGAGGTGGAGGTGGTACCCCACCAATAGAACTAGCAGTAGCTCTTGAAATTAAAGAAGATGGTGCCAGAGGAGGAGGAGGAGGAGGAGGAGGCGGGGGTGGTTGTTGTTGTGATGTTTGAAGATTATTAGTTGTACTCACTGAGCGTGGTGGCAATGGTGGTGGTGGAGGAGGCACGGGCAGCCGCTGTGGCACAGAGGGTTGTCTATTTGTAGAAGAAAGAGGTGGAGGTAGTGGAGCTGGTGGTGGGCCTTTAGAAGAACTGAAGGGGGAGGTGGAGGAGGTGGTGGTGGACCTCTGCTGATAGGAGGGGGTGTACTAGAATCTTTAATGGAGAAGTTAGGAGGAGGAGGAGGTGGTGGTGGTGGTGGTGGACCTCTGCTGGTGGGAGGAGGCAGTGTACTAGAATCTTTAGTGGAGAAGTTAGGAGGAGGAGGAGGTGGTGGTGGTGGTGGACCTCTGCTGGTGGGAGGAGGCGGTGTACTAGAATCTTTAGTGGAGAAGTTAGGAGGAGGAGGTGGTGGTGGTGGTGATGGTGGCAGAATTCTATTATGAGTAGGAGGTGGTAAAGACGAATCATTGTTTAAGAAGTTAGGAGGAGGGGGCGGACAAGGAGGTGGTGGAATAGCTCTTTTAGCTATGGGAACTGAAGGTGTTGATAAATCTCCTCCAGAGACATTAACAAGAGGAGGTGATGGTGGTGGAGGAGGGGGGAGGAGGGCATGATACTAATGGAGCAGACACTGACAAAGGGTGTTGGCTAGAAATAGAAGGCAGCGGTGGAGGTGGTGGTGGCGTGTGAGCAAAAGGAGGTGGTGGAGGGGGCTGAGGGGGGCATGGAGAAGGTGGGGTTCCAGCACCTGCAACTGATAATTGCTGATGAAGAGAGGATGGTACAACTTTGCCTGAAACTTGAGGTGGAGGGTCTGTGGCTAGATCCAAATCCTGTGGATCATTACTTTCAACTGATAAGGGAACTGAATCAGCAGTATTTGCCATCAGTGGTTTCATTGCTTCTGCTGGAGACTTGGAAATATAATCAAATGCTTCATCAGAGCTATCAGCAGTGCTAGATGCATTATTTTCATCTTCAGAATCAATAGGGGATGCATATGAATTCACTTGACTTTGCATTCTTGAAAATTCTCTGGCATCGCTTATGACTGATAGCTGTTTAAGTAACCACAAAGCAGCATCATCCCTGTTATCAACCCACTCAGCACCACTAAATAGTTCTTGAACTCTTGAAAAGGCTTCAATCGGCAATCCACCTTTCTCCTCGCCATTTAAAATTGTAGTTGGAGCTTTTGGAGGGGAGATGCTCTCGACCTCCCCAAACAGAACCTGAATGTTGACATTTAATCTAATCAAATGAAATGCAAGGCTTAAAAAGAAAAGAAATAGTATTTTGATAAATATTCACCTCTGCACGGAAGCCTTTTGGATACCGCTCCTTTGAATCCCAAAGAATGTCCAAATTTTCAGAATTGAGCATCAATATATTGGATCGAATAAAAGCTGTGTTAAACACTACACGAAACATCATAACTTCCCTTTCTGGATCCAAATCCAAATGCACACACTCCAAGACAACATCTCCTTGCACCAAACATTGAATGTCAATCTTAATCACATCACAGTCCGCCTAAAAACAAAGAATTGTCAATTTCACGTTGCCTCAGCAAAGAGGAATTGAGTATAAAGTGACACCAAATGGTATAGAATAGCAAGCCCCTCACCTGGCGGTAGTGCCGAAGAGCAGACTTCTTCTTCTTAGACATAGAGAAGAGCATCTGCGTAGAAAGTCCACCCTTTGCATGTAAGTTCCTACCAAAAATACGAATAATTGGCCTACACCCATTTTCAGCATCAAAACTTGGAATGGCACGAAAAATGACACAATCCAAAGAAAGCGCCCGTTCAGGAGGTGGCCACTCAGGTGCTATATTTCTCCTAGCCACATACTGAAGATAGCGTAGCTGAGATGGAAAAGGATTGAGTGGTGACAGGAGCTGCATGAACCCTTTAGGAGCCTCTTTATGGACAATCTCAAGCGTCCTCTTTTCACCGCTATGCAACTTCCTAAAAATCAAGAAACTAGCCAAAAGAAAAGCCAACAGTGGCCAACTTCCTCTCTCACAGTGAAAAAGGATAATATTCTGATGATTCCCAAGTGAAAGCCAGCTCTCACAAACGCGAAGAAAATGCTGAATCAAAGACAACGGCAGTAAAGGGCAACCCTCGTACTGCCGCGGATAATCCATTACAGTAACATCATACTGACATAAAATATCTGCAAACTGACTCCGTTTCTCGCCTTCTCGAAAATTAAAGGCCAGAAACGAAGAGTCCGGAAACTCCTCATACAATTCTGTTATTATTTCGTGTAGGTAAATTTGATACATTCCATCCGGTAATACTTCAGTGGAAAAACAAGAATCAAAAACTGCAACACACATAATTAACAAAAAAAAAACTTGATTAAAAACAAAACACACATAATGCCGCATATTGCAAAAAATAAATGAATGAAAAATGGATTACCGTAAACTCTATCGACAAATTCGAGTACGCCATCAGGGGGTCTTCGGTAAAAGAATCTACTAAGGAGGGACATTTCTTTCAAAATAAATTTACATGTGTTTGTCTTTTATAGCCTGAAGAATGAAAACAAAATTACTTACTTTTTTACTTAAGCTAAAAGGGAAAATAATTGATTGAAATCTGAATAATTTTTGAATTAGCTAAACTTTCAAAGCTGCCAAACAGAAAGACAAGTGAAGCGAGAAAGAAAATAACCTCAAGGCGCGGGAAACAGCGTGTTTTCTTTCGGATTTGAGTGCCGGTGTACGGTGGAAGTGGTGCTGCTTCACCTTTCTTCTGTTTTTTCAATTTTTGAACTTTCGATTTGGGGACGGAAAGGGAAGGGGAGACGGGTCTTTTTTTCGTCGTTTGTTTTTCAAAATTAAATGATTTTGAAGCCCAGATATGTGTACTGGCCCATTTGCAGGTATTGTCTTTGTTTGGAAAGGTAAGAAAGGGCCCATAGAAAGAACAAAGACAAGCAGTAAGCCCAATTTAAGGATCGAATTCTTTCTTTTCTTTGCAAGGAGGGTGGTGCGGTCGAGAATTCGAAATTTGCAATTGCTTTTAGAAGGCTATTTTCGTCTTTTACTTATCAAGTAATAATCGAGTAATCCCGACAACTTCAAAGTTTTAGTACAATTAATAAATAAAAAAATCAATTCTTTGTTTCATTTCGTATTTTTAACCAACAAAAAATCGTTATCTTTTTTTTTTTTTTTTTTTTGGATAATGAAATGCCAAAACAAAGCAAGCCATCTAGGTAAGCATGGCCATGGAGAGCAACAACCCCAAATAACATAAGTTTTGTATTTTGCATCACTCATAAGCTTTGGAGTTCAAAGAATACAATCATTCGCTATAATGAGTTTGAATACACTTCCTTGCAGTTCTTCTAATTGACATCGAATGATTTCCTTATCCTTTTTGTCACCTCTCTACTTCTCAGCAAGAAAATAAAAGGCTCCGTTCGAGATTTAAGACACAAAATGTAAGAAAAAGAAATTGAGATTTGTTGTGGTGCTTGAGAAAAGATAAACGAAGTGGATATGAATGCAGACGAAAGAAATAATGCATAAAAAACAATACTAATTTGATAACAAAATATATTGCAGTAAGAACACATCATCACCATTCAAAACTAACGCAATCAATTTATAATAGATTAAATGATTAGTTTTTTAAATGAGTTTGATAATGCATCTATATAATGTTTAAAAGTATTTTTTAAAGTTTATTTGAATTCAAAAAATATTAATTTGATTTTTTTAGTTCTCTTGGATGGTTTTAATGTGAAAAATATCTCCCCTTTTTTTTTAAGAGTACTCATCATTTCGTACTCTATTTATAAAGCACCCATATTAATTATCAATTATTAAAATTTATATGATTTTTATTTTTTTAAATCACATAAAAGACATCAATTTTAAATCAGTACCAACATAAACTCTTTCGTCAAGTTTAATTTTAATTCCGATTAAAAAAAAAAAAACTCTTGGCAAAGCCTGTGTGTCATTGCCATCCCATCACCTTATGGTTCAACTTTAGTAGCAAGCAACAACTAGCTTTTTCCGTAGAGCTGCCAACATATCATATTCGAAACAAATCATAATAAATTTGAATTTAATTTATTTAATAAACAAATTGAATTAAATTTTATAAAATTAAATTTAGTTTTTACAATTGTCAATTCGGATTTGGATCTCAATGGGTTCAGACATGATTTATCATTTTATTTTTTTCAAAGTAAAAATTTTTACTACATTCAAAATCATATTTAATGTAAAATGAGTTTTAGCTATTGCATGTATAAAAAAATGTATTATGATAATATTTTAATTAAAAATATAAATGTCTTGTCATTAAAAAACAAAATTAAATAGTCTGCATAAAAATTATACTAAAAGTCAAAATTAAGATAATTAAGTTAGGTAATAAGTTGATAAAGTTAAAAAAAAAAAAAACATAAACAAAAATGCCTATTCTAGAAACAACTTGATTGATCCAAAAGAAAATCCTTGTGTTCTACAAGTAACAAGTTTTAAATGAACAAAAATTCAGATTGGATCAAGATTTTACAAATTAAAAACATAAATATCCTATTGATTATCTTTTTTCATATGTTTATGGTTTTTTTTTTTTTACAAAATTAAATTGAAACTCAAAAAAAAAAAATGAAACAACTTTCTCATATAATTATTAAAAGAATAACAGTCAATGTAGAGGGAAAAAAGAACAAAAAAATCGAATGTTTCATAGAATAATTTTTTTATCATTTAGAATAGACAAACTCTAAATCTAAACCTAGTGCTATATTTTTTTCATATTTTTTTATTCTTAAAATATTATATTTATTAGAAATAATATTTAATATTAATTTTTGATCATATTATTGTCAAACGAGATCGAAGTATATCCATATTATATTTATTTAATAAATATGCTAGCGTATTTGAATCAATCAAACTTATACAAATTATATATCAAATTTATTTAATTATACCTTAACAATATCAGATTTGGATTGAGATTAAAATCAAAACCATTGACAATAGTACTTGTTGGCAATGGACATGCCTTTCCTTAACAGACACTACACCATAAGAAGGCACGACAAAAAGAAACCCACTGACCCTCAGTTTAGGTGCCAAATTGGAAATTGGAAAACCTTCCGACTATAAGGCTGTATTTGTTTGGAGAAAAATAAGTTTGTTTTTTTTATTTTTAAGTGTTTGTTTCATGTTTAGGAAAAAAAATCAACTTAAAATGATTTCCAATCAATGAAAAATGATAGAGTATTTTTTGAAAAAATGTTTTCCCAATTTAAAATGAGGAAAACATTTTCCTTCTTGCGAGTTGTTTCGCTCTCGTGTTATTTATTTTTTTCCGATATATTTTAACAATTTTTTTCTCTATCTTCTTTTCATTTCAATTATATCAAATTAAATTTTAATTATTCTTTTATCAATTATTATTTAATTATTTTTTCTCTATTTCTACTGATATTTGATTTTTTTGATTTATAGATACATTAAATATTTTTAAAAATCATTTTTACACTTTAAAATTATTTTTATAATAAATATTTCAATAATTTATCTTTATTTTTTTATTATTATCTCAAACATCACTTACATTATACTTAAATAATTGAAAATAATTATTACAAGACTACAACTTTTTGTCAAAAAATTAAAATTAATTAATTCGTTAACAAATCTATTATTTTTTCAACACTCTTCATTTGCAACTAAATCAATAATTTATAATTTTAATCAATTGTAAAATTTTGTTAGTAATTATAGTGAATAATTATTTACAAATTATTTTATCATTAATCTTTTGAAACCAAATGAATAATTATCTACAAATGATAACTAATAATTTATAAAATTATTTTTTAGACTAAATTTTCAGTTCAATTTCCAAAAAAAATAGAATTCTTAATTGAGTTACAAAACAACAATGCTAGGATTAATTAGAATTTTTTTTTTTTTACTAAATGTGAATATTAACTTGATTTTGTCCCAAGTAATTTTGATGAATTGGTTTGATAGTTAAAAAAATACATGTTATTTTCTTAAATTAAAATTTTAGAGTCAATATTTATGAAAATTTATTAAATTTTTCTAAATTTATCTTACATTGTGAAATTATGAATATACTTTTTTGAAGTTTTCTCAAAACTTGTTGATGTAACAATCACATGTTGTTTTGTATTTTAATTTTCCGTATCAAACAAACGCTGAAATATATTTTCTAACAGCTTTTTCTAATTGCTAAACGGCGAGAAAATATTTTTTTGAAAAACAATTTCTTAAAAAATAGCTTCATCGTGAATTGGTTTTTCTATAAAAGTTATTTTTTATCAAACAAAAGAAGCTCAAAACAACTAGTAATTTTCCTTGCTTGCTTTTTATCTTTTTTGTGGATAAAAATTGGACTAAATATAAAAGATTCCTTGCGAACAAGGCTATAATTGTGGCTACTAAAGGGATGAAAAAAGAAAGAATCTCCATAGGGAATGGAGAAGACCGTTACTTTTACATTTCAACCTCTTTTGCATGGCAGAATCTCTTCATGTGAGATGATGAGGATGGCCGTCGTTGTGTCTTCATCTTGCTTTTCTCTTCTCTTCTGCAGAAATGAAGAGAGAGCTGATAGAGCCAATCAGAGTCTGTGAGCGATGGGCATAAAAAATTTAAAAAAATCATTTCACTATGCCCAAAATTGCCCTGTCTTTTTCTGTATTCTTGCGTCTTATCTTTGTTCTGCTTTCTATTTCTCTTTTCTAGAACATCTGTGAGCATGAGTGGGGATTAGATTTTGAACCTTGAAACAAAATTTGCGTAAGAGCTCACAAATCAATTAGGTGCAAGGATAAAGGAGAATCAAACCCCTGGAATTCTTTTGCCAAAATCATGAATTGATTAAAGTTATTCTCAAATTACGTTTAATAAACTTGGGACATAAGCTTTGTTAGATTCTTTTAGATATGTGTAAAAGTAAAAGAAAAAAAATATTATATTGAGACATATAATTATCTTATAAAAAAGAAAAAAAAAAACAGGGTTATGAGAAATAAAAAGATGGACGAAAATTCAAACTAATGACCAATAAGTTATTGATATATTAGTAAGGGAGCTGATCTTTAAATGAATTTAATGTTGATACGTAGAATTTCAATTCTAAAATCGTATTTATAAAAGATGTTATATTTTATTATTTTTTTATTGAATATGATTAATAATATATCTAATGAGAAATAAAAATATACATAAAAAACTAAAAAAAGAAAAAAGTTGAGGCTGGCGTTGAACAAATGAACTAAGCATGACTTGGGCCAAAATGTATGGAGCCATTAAATTTAAGTTTCGTAGGCCTTTTTAATTAAATTATTATACGAAATACTAAAAGAAAACACAGTTAGTGTGGATTAACTGTAGTGGTTTTGCTTCTTCTTCTTTTTTTTTTTTTTTCCGCCCGTTTGTTGTAGCGATTAGCCAATGCTCTCTTTTGTTTTTTCTTTTTCTTTTCATTTGCGGGAGCCAAGGCCATAGGGTTGGCTTTTAGTAAACTTTATTTTTATTTTAGTACCTATTTTATAATTTTTTATCATTAAAATTTTATTATATTTGATTTTTATTCCTATAATAAATATTAAAATTTTGTTATATTTAATTTTTTCTATAATAAATATTTTTTTGGCTTTTAGTAAAAATTTATATTCTTTTTAGTTCCTATTTTATGATATGTTTTTATTTTGGTTATTAAAGTTTTATCATGTTTGATTTTTATCCTCATTATACTAAAACTAAATAAAGTTTCACTATCCTAAGCATTTTTTTTTTTTTTTGCTTTTAGTGAAACTTTTCTTTCTATTATAATTCATGTTTTGTGATCTTTTTTCTTTGTTTTGGTCATTAAATTTAGTAAAATTTTATTTTTGTTTTAGTCTCTATTTTGTAATTTTTTTTTTATTTTGATCATTAAATTTTTATGATATTTGATTTTTTCCCTAGAAAGAACTATTTTTTAATTTTAGTAAAAAATTTTGTTATGTTTTGGTTTTTATTTTGTGATCTTTCTTTTATTTTGATCATTGAAGTTTTATTATATTTGATTATTATTCTTTTTACGCTAAAATTAAGTATAGTTTCAGTATTCTAAATTTTTTTTGGCTTTTAGTAAAAAAACATTTTCTGTTTTGATTCTTATTTTGTATTTTTTTTATTTTGGTCATTAAAATTCTATCATATTTTACTTTTGTTCTTGTCTTATGCATAATGAATTTTTTTAGTCTTATTGTTTATTATTATTTTTTTCTTTTAGTGAAAGTTTTTTATTTATTTTGATCATTTTTTATGATTTTTACTTATTTTTATTATTTACTTTTTATTGTGTGTAATTTATCTCTATTTTTTTGCCAAATTCTCAATTTGAAATTTTTTTTGTCCTATTATTTTTGTGATCTCTTTATCTCATTAAAAAATCATAGATAAATAATATATGGTAAAAATTAATCATCTAAAATTCAAAAAACTACCATATAATTATTTTAGTTACTAATTATTAAACATATTTATAATAAAATATACGTTTATATGAAACAATATCTAATTAGCAATCGTATATTGCTCAACTTTGCGATTTTTTGTTTAACTAATCCTACGAGTAAAATATAAGATATATGTTTATTTATTTATTTTTTTGAATTTTTCTAGCATGATCTTTTTAAATAATTATTTTTAAATTTTAAATTTTATATAAATGAATACATTAAAATATTATATAGTTTGCCTCTCAACGATACGTGGGATATAGGCTTGTTTAAATCTAATAGACATGACTAGCATATGTCCCGCGCGTTGCCGTGGGATGAGTTATATAACATTCTTATACATTTATTCATATAAAATTTAACATTTACAAATAATTATTTAACAATATCATGTGAAAAAAATTCAAAAAAAAAAAAAAAACTACAACATATATTTCATAATTTGTCTGCGAGGTTAGCTAAACGAAAAGTTTATAAAGTTGAATAATATAATATTGCTAATTAGATATTGTTTGATATAAACATGCATTTTATTTAAAATATGTCTAATAAATGATAATTAAAATAATAATGTGGTAGTTTTTTGAATTTTCAATGATTGATTTTTATCATATATTATTCATTTGTAATTTGTTAATGAGGTGGAGAGACCACCCAAAACAAAAGGACAAAAAAGCTTTATCAAATCAAGAATTTGACAAAAAAAATAGAGATAAAATTACACACTATAAAAATTAAATGATTAAAACAAAGTAAAGATCATAAAAAGGATAAAAATAAATAAATAAACTTTCACTAAAAGCATACAAAATATATATATATATATATATAAACAATAAGACTAAGAAAAATTCTTTATGCATAAGGCAATAACGAAGCAAACATTATAGAATTTTAATGACCAAAATAAAAAAATTAATAAAATAAGAATCAACACGTAAAATTTTTTCACTAAAAAAAAAACTTACAATAGTTAAAATTAATATATTTTGATGTAGAATGAATAATAATCAAATATAATAAAAATTTAATGATTAAAATAACAAAAACTTAGAATAGTTTAATGATCATAAAACAAAAACCAAAATATAACAAAAAGTTTTACTAAAAGTAAAAAATAGTTCCTTATTGCAAAAAAATTTAACGATCAAAATAAAAAATAATCACAGAACAAAGACTTAAAAAAAATTATACTAAATTTAATGACGAAAACAAAGAAAAAATTTAAAAAAAAATAGAATAGAAAGAAAATTTAACTAAAAGAAAAAAAAAAACAACCTTAGGATAGTAAACTTTATTTAGTTTTAGTATAGCAAGGATAAAAATCAAATATGAGAAAACTTTAATGACTAAAATAAAAACATATTAAAAAATAGAAACAAAAAAAGAACATAAATGTTTACTAAAAGGCTAAAAACAAATTTATTATAATGATCAACATCACATATAATAAAATTTTAATATTTATGATAGAGATAAAAATCAAATATAAGAAAATTTTACCGACCAAAATAAAAAAATAGAAAGAAGGGACCAAAATAAAAATCAATTTCCTAAGCGACAACGAGTAGGTCCAAAATGAGAAAAAAAAAAAAGGGTCCACGCATCGGGCTCGAGGCTGCTGCTCGAAGACCCAAAAAGAAGAAGAAGAAGAGGTTGTAACTTTTGGCGAATCGAGGTCGTTGGAATCTTCGTCGAAAAATCGAGGATCAAGTTTCGGACTCCTAAAAATTGAATTCGGCATCATTTGTTTTTCAAAACACCTTTAAATGATCGAAATAAAGCCAATAAACATATCTAAAACCTTAAAAATCATTTTAATGCACACAAAAACAAAAATAATTTCAGAATCGAAACATTGTTTTCTTTTTTGGCTCCGATGTACCTCTTCTAATTGTTTAATGGCTTGAAACAACCATGGATAAACTCATCTCTCAAAGATAAAAAAATCTAGTAGATTTTCGTCGGTCGAAGTGGCCTAAATAAGCGTGGTTAGTGATCTCTCTCTCCTCCTGTCTCTCTCTTCCCACCTTCCTTCTCTCTCATCAAGGATCAAAATAAATGAGCAAATAAAGATGTGGATCGAAAGATTTGTTAGCGAAAATCAAAGATTAAAGTGTAAAAAACTAATGAATAGTAAAATATTAGTATATGAACAGTGTTGACAATAGTAAACTAATTTTATTTTAATTTATTTAGTTAATAGTTAATAATTATCTCTATCTCCACAGTCTCAATGAAAAATCAACCTTCAACTATAAAGTGAGCATTAAACGATCAGTTTCTTTATGCGAGAACTTATCCAGAGAAGAAGTGAATAGTGAGACAAAATCATTTAAAACCTGATTACAGGTAAAGTAGCTTTTTGTCAAAGATAACAGCAACACTCTCACAATGGGAATTGAAAAAGGACCTTTTGTGCAATTCATTCCAATCCATTTACTGCAAACATTACAAATAAAACTAAAAAAACCGAAAAACCACTATAGCACTTTTACTCATGTTTTTTTTTTTTTTTACCTTTCTTTTTCTGTTGATGTAGCCAAGGTCCCTTTTGGCTTTTAGTTCATTTTATTTTTATTTTGGTCCCTATTTTATAATTTTTTTTATTTTGATCATTAAAATTTTATTATATTTGATTCTTATCTCTATAATAAATATTTTTTTCTTAGCTTTTAGTAAAAATTTATATTCTTTTATGGTTCTTATTTTGTGATGTGTTTTTATTCTAGTCATTAAAGTTTTATCATGTTTGATTTTTATTCTCACTATACTAAAACTAAATAAAGTTTACTATTCTAAGCTTTTTTTCTTTTAGTAAAACTTTTCTTTCTATTATAATTCCTGTTTTGTGAATTTTTTCTTTATTTTGGCCATTAAATTTAGTAGAAATTTATTTTTGTTTTAATCCTTATTTTGTAATTGTTTTTTTTTTATTTTGATCATTAAATTTTTATTATATTTGATTTTTTCCCTACAAGGAACTATTTTTTACTTTTAGTAAATTTTTTTTTTATATTTTGGTTTTACAAATAAAACTAAAAGAAAATGAAAAACAACCATAGCGAGTTTCGCTATTCATTAACTCGTTCACGTTTTATTTTGATAGTTAAGTTTTGTTAGATTCTTTTAGATATGTGTTAAAGTAAAAGAAAAAAAATATTATATTGAGATATATAATTACCTTATAAAAAAGAAAAAAAAAGAAGAGAAAAAGCCAGTGTCAAGAGATAAAAGATAGATGAAAATTCGGACTAGCTGCCAATAAGTTGTTGATCTATTAGTAAGCAAGCTGATCTTTACATGAATTTAATATTGATGTGCATAATTTCAATTCTAAAATTTTATTTTTTAAAAGATGTTAAATTTTATTATTTTTATACTGAACATAATTAGTACTATATCTAATGAGAGATGAAAATATATATAAAAAACAAAAAAAGGAAAAAAGTTGAGGCTGGTGATTGAAATAATGAACAAAGCATGACTTGGGCCAAAATATATGGAGCCATTAAATTTAAGTTCTGTAGGCCTTTTTAATTAAACTATTTAAATCTAATAGACATGATAATTACCTCTATCTCCACAATGTCGATGAAAAATCAACCGTCAGCTGTAGAGTGAGCGTTCAATGATCAGCTTCTTTCTGCGAGAACTTGTCCAGAGAAGAAGTGAATAGTGAGACAAAATTATTTAAAACCTGATTACAGATAAAGTAACTTTTTGTTAAAGATGACAGCATCGCTCTCACAATGGAAATTGGAAAAGGACCATTTGTGCAGTTCATTCCAATCCATTTACTGCAAACATTACAATTACAAATTACAAATAAAACTTTTAAAAAAAGGAAAATCACTTTAGCATTTTAACTGTTCACGTGTTTTTTTTTTTTTTTTTTACCCTTTCTTTTTCTGCTGATGTAACCAAGGCCATTTTTAGTTTTTAGTTAACTTTATTTTTATTTTGGTCCTTTTTTTGATATCTTTTTTTATTTTGGTCATTAAAATTTTATTATATTCGATTTTTTATCCCTGTAATAAATATATATTTTTTGACTTTTAGTGAAATTTATGTTCTTTTTTTTATTTCTATTTTGTGATATATTTTTATTTTAATCATTAAATTTTTATCATGTTTGATTTTTATCTTCGGTATACTAAAACTAAATAAAATTTACCATCCTAAGCTCTTTTTTTTCGCTCTTAGTGAAACTTTTCTTTTTATTATAATTCCTATTTTGTGAATTTTTTTCTTTATTTTGTCCATTAAATCTAGTAGAATTTTATTTTATTTTTAATCTCTATTTTGTAATTTTTTTTTTATTTTGATCGTTAAATTTTTTTTATATTTGATTTTTTTTCCTTACAATGAACTATTTTTTACTTTAAGTAAAACATTTTGTTATGTTTTGGTTTTACAAATAAAACTAAAAGAAAACGAAAAACCATTGTAGCACTTTCATTGTTCATTAACTGTTCACGTTTTTTCTTTCTTTCTTTTTATGTTGATGTAATCAAGGCCCTTTTTGGCTTTTATTTTATTTTATTTTTATTTTGGTCCCTGTTTTGTATTTTTTTTGTTTTGATCATTAAAATTTTATTATATTTGATTTTTGTCCCTATAATAAATATTTTTCTTGGCTTTTAGTAAAAAATTATGTTCTTCTTTTGTTCCTATTTCGTGATATATTTTTATTTTAGTCATTAAAATTTTAGCATGCTTGATTCTTATCCTCACTATACTAAAACTAAATAAAGTATACGATTCTAAGCATTTTTTTTAGTGAAACTTTTCTTTCTCTTATAATTCATGTTTTGTGATTTTTTTTTATTTTGGCCATTAAATTTAGTAGAATTTTATTTTTAATCCCTATTTTGTAATTTTTTTCTATTTTGATCATTAAATTTTTATTATATTTGATTTTTTTCCCTACAAGGAACTATTTTTTACTTTTAGTAAAACTTTTTGTTATATTTTGATTTTTATTTTGTGATCTTTCTTTTATTTTAATCATATTTGATTATTATTCTTTTTACACTAATATTAAATACAGTTTCACTATTCTAAGTTTTTTTTTGGCTTTTAGTAAAATTTTTTTTCTGTTCTAGTTCTTATTTTGTGGATTTTTTTTGTTCATTAAAATTCTATCATGTTTTACTTTTGTTTTCGCCTTATGCATCATGTTTTTTTTAGTCTTATATATATATATATATATATATATATATATATATATATATATATGTTTTTAGTGAAAGTTTTTATTTATTTATTTTGATCCTTCTTTTATTATCTTTACTTTTTTTATTATTTAATTTTTATCATGTGTAATTTTATCTCTTTTTTTTTTCGTTTTGCCAAATTCTCGATTTGACAAAGCTTTTTTGTCTTTTTATTTTGGGTGGTTTCTCTATCTCATTGACAAATTACGGATGAAGAATATATAGTAAAAATTAATCATCTAAAAATTAAAAAAACTACTACATCATTATTTTAATCATCGGTTATTATAAATATGTTTAATAAAATACATGTTTATATCAAACAATATCTAATTTGTAAAATTATATGATTCAGTTTTGCAAACTATTTGTTTAGCTAACCATACAACAAAAAATGAAATATATGTTTTGATTTTTTTAAAAAAATTTTACATGATCTTTTTAAATAATTATTTTTAAATTTTTAAATTTATATATATGAATATATAAGAATGTTATATAGTTTATTCGGGATATATGCTGGTATATACCTAAGATAAGAAATGCCATGGGGTTAGTGGTTAAATACAATTTATGCCTACCTGGATCCTACTATGTCTTCTTTATGTCTATGACCATAGTTTAGAGTTGGTGTGTAGCCAGATTAGTAGCACTAGCCACGCTATCCCTTTGTGAATGGTCGTATGTCCATGAAAGTAAACCTGCGTTGCAGGGATGATACAAGTGTCATGACTCGGGGGCTCCCCTCCAATTTTGTAACTGTTAGGTACTCCAAAATAGGCATCGGCCACAGTTTGAGGTAGGCAGGCTGCCAATAAATATAATTTTTTTACTCTTTTTTTATGATAACTAACTAAATTGATGTCATTAAAGAAAGTTATAGAATATACAGTTATTAAATTATACTATGTTAATATTATATAATTAAATTTGAGTTTTTTTAACCTCTCACTTTCTATGGTGTGTGAGTGAGTGGGACAATATAAACTTGATATCTCATTATATATAAATAAAAAAATTCAGAAAAGAAAATTTATCATGCATGTACTAATCTAGATGTAAAAGATGGTTTTTAAGGATTAATAGTTTTATCTATTATTATATAATGGCTCAAGTTTATGATGTATCCTTATATTCTAAAATAACTCTATTATGTCATGTTATTTTCTCATTTATTCTTTTAATCAATTTTTTTTGTACTAAATTACTAAAAATTGACCACATCATTTGTACATAACATGTTTTTTAATAAAAACGTTTCTCATGTGCAATAGAAAAATCAAAGAGAATAATACATTAAAAACTAATTAAAATGACAAAATCATAAAAGAATCATTTTGATATATAATAATAATTGAAAATTTAAACTATTATATGAAAACAAATAAGGTTATTAACTCGTTTTTTAATTAACTTAATGTATGTTTGGTAGTATCGTCCGTTTACTTTCATATAAAGTGTATTTGAAGGGAAAAACCATCAAAATGTGCTCTGTAATAAAACATTTTAAAAAACAATTTCAAAGAGTAAGTTGTAAATTAGTCTCTAGTTTTACGAAACGAATTAAATATTTTTTAGTTTAAAAAAATAATTAATTAATTTTTTATTAGTGTTAATTATATTTAATTTAATATAAATTTATTTTAAAATATATCTTGTTTTTCATCAATCATTTCATAATATTTGTTTATTTTTTCTATTTTTTTAAAACAAAATGAAAAATACCTAAAATAGACTAAAGAAACTAACTAATTAGTTTTTAAAATTAAAAAAAATTAATTCATTTTATAAAATTAAAGACACTATTTCATAATTAACTTTATTTGCAAACACAATAAAAAGCCAATGCCAATCGAAATCCTAATCTCACTACGAGAGCTAGTACAAAAAAAGCATCCAGGAATCTATTAAATTTAACTAAATGCTTAATGGAAGGTTAGTAAATCAAATAGATGACATCATAATTAGAAATAAAATACAACTCTGTCTGAAAACAAAAAACGAAAAAAGAAAGAGATAAAAAAAAACAACACAAACAGGAAAGTAAGTAAGTAAAAAGCTGTCTTCTTAAAAGAATAAACAAAAAGCTGTAGCAGCCCCTCGTGGTATCTATGTGCCCAAAACCAAAAGACATCTCTTACTCCAGTTCCCAAAACCCAACCAAAGCAAAACCTCCTTTGAAAGTAAATGGCAGGCCAAGAAGAAGATGCAGCAAAGCCAAAACAAGACCAAGAAGAAGAACCAGAAGCAAATCCAATAGAAGAAAAGCTTCTGTCTTCCTATTTAGGCCTAAGTTTCTCTCTCTTTTTAGCTTTCTTGCCTACTAACTCCATTTCTTTAACACCGAACCTCCAAACCCAGATCAGAGACCTCTCAATACGCCTTTTTCAAGCAGAAGAACAGTTAAAACAAATGAAGTCAAGAAGAAAAGAGGACTCAAAAGCAAATGCAAGAGTTGTAGAGATCTTTGCAAGCCACAGGAACGCTTGGCAAGCTGAAGAGAAGAGGTTGCTTCAACAGATCGACTTAGCAAGTGAAGAAATGGCTTCATTAAGAGCTAAAGTTGAAGACTTTGAGAGAGAGAGAGAAGAGTGGCAACGAAAGATTCAAGATTTGGAGAGAGAGGTTGGTGAGAGAGAGGAAATGATTGGATTTATGTCAAGAAATGCTGTTGGTGGTGGTGGTGAGTTTGTGGAGGGTGAGGAGGAGTCTGTTAGGTGTGGGAGTGGGGAATATTATGGTGTGGGGGAGGAGGAGGAGGAGGAGGAGGAGAATGGGAATTTTGTTCATGGTCAACAGTATTATCAGCATTTGCTGCACCAGCAGCAGCAAGGGAGTAATGGGGGTTTCAGTTCAGATTTATTGGCTTCTGCGTCTAAGTTTTGGAGTGAGACAGCTAGTACTCTCTGGCAGGTTTTGCTCTTCTTTTGATATTTTCTGTTCCTTTACTTTCAGATTCATTTGAACGTTGGGGATGGAAATTTATAATTTCTTCCTGGGCTTGTTTGGACTAAGGATTTAAAATGGAGGAAAAAAATTAACAGAATTCTAGGATCTTAAGATGTGTTTATGTTGTATCTTTTGGTATTTTGGAACTCCTTTGTCAATTGTGATTCACAGAATCTTCCTAGGACATGGAGATTTTTCCTGCATTTTCATGTAGAGATGAGGATAAAAAGTTGCAGTCATCACCCTTTTCATAAGTCAATCCAGAAAGTTTAGTTACTAACTAATTGACTTTCAATTCAATTTTTTTGTTAGCCTCATGCATGAATTAAATTTCTATATCTTTTGTTAAAGTGAATACAACAATCCTTCAATTGTCTCATTCTTTGTCCATCCCTAATTTGCATTTTTTTTTCCAACTTGAAGATTTGTTGATATAAATTTTAGTTTTTGGTGCCCACTTACAGAGTGGCTTTGGATAGATGTTAGTTTTGGCACCTTCTTTAAAAGTAGAGCTGCTAGTTGTGCTCCTTTCATCATATAAAGTTCATTGTTTCACTTGGACCACCAATGCTTTTCCAAGGCATGACAACTTGACACTGTCTTCTGAAATTTGTTTTTATAAATAATTACATTGTTAATGTGGCATTAGATTTCATCTGACACAACTGATCATGCATGATAAAACCACGAAAACCACTAAGAAGTAGGTACTAAATTTGAATGTATTATGGTCCTGGTAAAATACAAGCCTGTTTCGCTTTCTCGACATCAGTATATAAGTTTTTATATAGAAAAAATCAGTGTTTACGAGTATCTAAGATGTTAGATAAATCTGTCAGTTAATTGGCATTTATCGAAAAATTTTATAGTACTCGAGGAGTAACTAGTGGCATGTATAGTAGTTATTTAATAGATCCACTTTGAGGAGAGAGACATATAAAAAAGAGAGACAAATAGGAGAGAGAGAATTTAAAAAAAATTAAGTCATCGTAGAAATCTTCTTATTATTTTTGATGAGTTCGGATATAATTCTCTTTGCTTTTTATGTGTCTATCTTCCTTCTCAAAATAGATTTATGGAGTAACTACTGTACATGTCATTAGTTACTCGTTGAGTATTATAAAATTTCTCGACACTTATCTCTTCTTGCAATGGATGTAAATCTCTTGGCTATGGTGCAATTACCCTGCAGTTGATGATGATCCAGTATATTTTCAGGAAATTGTTTATGGTTAAAACAAGTTTTTTTTCCGCTAGTTCTCTTTCTTTCTTTCTTTTTTTTTTCATTTCCTTAGTTACTATTATTTTTTGCCTGGGGCTGTTGAAACATGGCATCTGCTTCTGTTATAATCATGCTTGCTTTTCCATGTGGATGTAGGCCATTGTCCTATATTGTTGTGGCGACTTGTCTCCCTGAAGATGATTGCTTAGTGAAACACAAGGGCCCGTTGGGCCCTCTCAACTTCATAGCCACCGATAATGTGCCCATTCTGTTTGGCCTTCTTAGACTTCATAAGAAAATCATAAAGTTGAAATTTTAGAGTTCTTAAAAACACAAAACTGATATGGTTTTGTGAAATTACTACCAGTAAAATCCAATTCATGGTAAATTGAAATTCTAGATGATTTGAACAACAAATGCCTCTATAACTTTTTGGCAAACTCGGTACCAATATGTTCTGTTAGTTGAAAGACCACTGGCTGCTTCTTGACCCTTTACCTTGTGTCCACTAAAACAGTTGGTGGGGGGTTTGATTTTCTGAGTCACCTGAAACTAATGGAAAAAAGTAATATTTTGCAGAATTCATTTTGAAGTAATTCAATTTTAAATGTTTATTTCCATGTTTTTTTTTTAATTTTAAATATTAATTTTTGCAGGATGTTCAGTATGATTCCCATGAATCGCTCTATAATATGAAACATTTTGTGGCAAGGTAAATCTGACATTCTAGGTGTGTGTGTGTGTGTGTGTATTCTATAGTGCTATGACTAATGAACGGGTGACTTACATTTCCTGTTCAGAAGAGAGTCCCCGTGGAAGGTAGATGGTGATTCAACAGGCATTTCCTCTAAGTTAAAATTACTCGAAGAGGAACTTCTGAATTTGGAAAAAGTTGGCAAAACTGATATATCAAAGGTTCCATCCCTAATGAGGAAGCAGGCAAAGAGATATCAAGCTCTAGCAGGAAAGATTGATGATCTTTGCAGAAGAATGGTAATGCATATGTGATATAATCTCTGTTTATTTTCCCATGTGCTATTATACAGTTCATTATAAGTTGACTGTCTGTTTTCTTTTTCATCCTTTAGTACTTTTAGGACCGTGTACCTGAGATTGAGCATGATTTTGTTCCTTAAATATGCAAACAAATTGCTTGGTTACATTATCTTTGATTACGTAGCATTTGATGTGGTCGAGCAAGTATGCCTTTTGATGTGGATTTGCTCATAATTTTGGGAACTTAGGATGATGTTCTACCAGAAATATTGTGGAAAGACATCTCGATTTGGAAATTTCTTGATGATGAAGTTGAAATAATTGAGTTGTTTGCCCCATTGAGCTGTCTGACTAAACTCCTTTTGAGTGCAAGGTGCATGGTCCCAAGGAAATTATTTATTCTTATTTGAGAACAAAAATTGAAAGGAAAAATTCTCCATTCTGCATTGTGAACAATTTGTATTGGGAAACCCATTAAATCTCTTCCGAATGATTGCGTGTATAGCATATGGTGCACATATGTAGACTGCTTTAAGTGGATCCACCATGCATTTGAAGTGTTTAAGTTCACTCCACTTCCTACCTGCCCCAATATTTCTTATTTTTCATATAGGCTTACGGTTGGAGAAGTTTTAATTTCTCGTGGAGGACCTATAGAGAAGAAACTTATGACAAATGTCTGGTACTCACTTAAATGCACTGTTGAAGGTAGTTTTAGTGATGCATTCGTGCTGGTTTTGTTTGTGAAAATTTGACTGGGGTCAAAACTGAACCCGTGTGTGTTGATCTTAACTCTTTTCTCTGACGAACACCGCCACACAATAAGTGTAATTTTGTGTTTTATGCTTCTCTCGTATTTATTTTAAATATTTGTTCTTTTCTAGGCAGGCGTGTAGCTTAAAACCTTCTCTTGCTTTTACAGCTAGCTAGCGATCCATGTGAACCTACACTGAGTCCTGAGTTTCGAACACAGAGGCAAACAGAGTTTTTGCTTGAAGCATTTCGGCTCAAGGAACGTGCTTCTGAAACTGGAGACAGGCTAATGGCATTGCAAAATGAGATTGGTAAGAGCTACCATAGGGATGAGGTGGGGAGCCAGGCCAAGCTCATAATGAGACGATCATTCGACTCCATAAGGAACAATTTAAAGGAAGTTCAGAGAAACTTGGAAATATGGTTGGCCAGAATTATTGGAGATCTTAAAGGGATTCTGGCCAGAGATGGTTCCTCTCGTCAACGTGAATATTATATTTCTAGGTATCCTTTTGTTCAATAGAATCTTCTGACTGGTAGTCTCAAGTACTGATCTAACTGAAATATGTTAGTAGCCCTTCTGGTAAATATGCTGATCTAAGACTTGAAACATAGCAGTGAGGAGCAACATGGAAATCAGGAAATGTGATCACCCCACCAATGTATATGGCCCGGAAACGGATCTATCTGAAGGAAGCCATCACCTAGTCAAAACAAAATGTTCATGCTTCAATTTTGTCATCACTAGTTGAATCGTAAATATGTTGATCCTGAATAAGAATATTTTGCAAACTAGACAATCTAGTCTAGCATGCTTTGTTCAAGACGAATTCAACACTCTTTCAAGTAGAGATTTGCCGACGAGGGGTGGTCAAAGGACCATTAGCGCAAGTGTTGTTACGTGAACTACGCATCGGTTTGAAATGATCCCCAACATCGACTTTTCAGTCAAGAGCAGGCCAACAGCTAAGCAGGGCTGGATAGTGATTAACGGTTGACTTCCTTGCTATTTTTAACACCTATTTGAAACAATTTACTATTGTTTCTTGAACAGGATTTGTGTGTCTCCTTCTGTCGATAGCTTTCAATTATAGCGACAGTTTCCTACATTTGGGTCGGAAGTCTCCCATCACCCCTTTCGATCATCAAATCCATGTGCATAAATGTACAGAAGTACTCTGGGCTAGGGCGTCTCCTAATTCAAAGAAATGCATGCACGTTCTGTATCGTGTGACGACGGTATTTATGTTAGGGTGCCAACTACAGTGTCGTAGTGTCGTCACTTAAGGAATTTAATGCCTGTGCCCTGCAATAGCGACACGTGGCTTTTGGATTATTAAAAGTGCTGTTAATTAATTGTTAAACCGGTGACCGAAATAGGCTGTTTGTCAAAAAAGGTTTGTGCATCTCAACTGTTAGATCAATCAGTGATGACGCTGCCGTTATATATATATATATATATATATCTTATTTTAAGAAACGAATTAACTAGCTTTTTTAGTAAAAAAAAAATAATTATTATTTAATTCTTATATTTTAATTTTTTTTATAAATAAAAAAATATAAAAAGATTGATGAGAAAAAATAAAGTTTTTTTAAAATAAACTATTATTAAATTAAATATAGTTAATATTTATTTAAAAAATTAAAAAATTAATTTTAAAACGAGAAAAACTAATTAATTATTTTTTTAAAAATAAAAAAATAGATTTATATTTTACTTACGCACATGCGCACGCATGGTACGAAGAAAATTAAAAGAACTAAAGTGTTTCCTATTATTTATTATGTTTTGGGACTTATTTTTACTATGGAGCAACACTTAATTTCTCTGTGCTGACACCTTCCATACATTTGAACCATTGTTCGCTTCTTACTTCTGACGTGTCTCGCCTTTATCTTTTGATCTAGTCATGATGTGCTTTTCACAGGGAAATATTTAATGTGTTTTTACCTTCTTTTGCATTACGGATTTGTGTGCTAATTTCTTTTTTTATCATTTTGGAGGATGTGCGGATACTTTTAAAGAAAAAACTTCATATGAAATAGCGAAATAAATAATAAAATTTTATTTTCTTTTATCTAAACTCCCAAAATCACCGTTGGATCAATTAATTATATTAGTCTTGATTTGCATGCTTGCTTTATGCAGCAGTTTGATTAATGGCTTTGAAATTTTACAGATTGTTGATGATTGTATTTTTATTTTTTGTATTTGATCATGGAATTTTTTGGTTTTTTTTTTTTTCCTTTTCCTAACTTACATTGTTTATATCTATTCTTGGACTGCTGATATAGGATGGAGAGCAACGATTATGCAAGGATTTGGCTGATAAGGTGAGCTATTAACCTTCTTTTTCTTTTTTAGTCCCAAACTTGCTTCTTTTTTCTTATCGAGTTCATGGTTAACATGAATTTATAGGTTTCTTGAGCATTTTTTTCTAAATCATTGTTGCCTTTGGTGATAGGGAGTCAATGAGTGGCTTGATTATTTTGGGTGATTACTCTGCCGTAGGGTATGTACCTTATACCAAGTAAATGCATATATATATATATATATATATATATATTTTTTTTTTTGGCAACCATACCAAGATTGATAATGTTATCAACATTGTAGAAAATCATGGAATTTTATTCTGTAGATGTTAGAATATTTTACTTATTTAATTAAGTCATTTGCTAATATTTTTGTTTATTCATAATGTGATAGGAAGTTTCTTATCAAAAGGACTTTGAAGAAACTTGATATGGCATGTACTATATAGCATAATAGTGTTTCATCTTAGTTCTCTGTTTTCATTACTATTAAAGGTATGTATTTATCCTACATAACTCTCATTTCAGAGTTAGTGACAAATGAGAAAATTTTATAATTATATAATCGATGACCCTTTAAATTCATATATTCCTTTTCATATTTAAAGTTTTGACACGTTATATTAAGAAATCTATGTATACAGTTTTGATTTTTAATAAAATATTATATTATTGCTTATGTCTCAGTATAATTACGCATTCTGATTTTTATGATAAACCTTTTTGTTGCTTTTTTAACGCTTTGCTTGCAGCGCAGCGCAGCGCGGGTGACAAACTCTTATAATGCTAGTTTTGTAGATTTTTTTTTTTTTTCTTTCTTTTCAATTTAATTCTCTCTCGCTTTAATTTTCGTCTTCGTATTCTGTCTTCATATCAAGCTTTTCATCTGCAACCAAGCCAAACTTATAATTCTTCTTCTTTGCTTTAGATGACTGATGGGTGTAGATAAATACCCACCTGATAATAGCAAAATGAGCAAAGTAACAAAATCCAATTCACAATTGCATTGAAAAAATAGTAAAAAATATATCAATATATAATCATATCTTTCCTTTCTTGCTTAATGGATGGTTAATTGAAAATCCGATTAGATAATTGGTGATCTAAATAGGGAAAAATCAAATTCTAAATCCAATTTGCAATAATTTTCGATCAACTTAAACCTAAACCGAATTTGCCAAAACTAAATATAAATATCATCTTTATACTATAAGAGGTTACTTATTAAAGAATCTAGGGAGAGATCGAATAAATTATGGCATAAGGGAAATAGTATGAAGCAGGCATCATCTTAGAATTACCATTTTTTTACAATGCAAAAATCCTTGATTTCCTTTTCTTTGAATTTTTCTGTACCTTCCTTCTTGTTATGAAACTCTTAATGATTTATTTTCTGAAAAAATATCGTCAAAACCTAAGAAGTTTAGGGGGTAAACGGTGCGGTTTCCTTTAAATGTAGAAGTTGAAAAAATTAAAAATAAAAAGAGACGAGAGATCCAATCAAACCTAACACAAAAGAACAACGTCCACATGCTTTGCCAAGCCACCAACACTAGATAAATAAATAAATAAAATAAAGGTCCGATACACTCGAAGTCATGAAATGTTCCCCAGCAATCCAATTTATGCAATTCATCAGTCATATTTTGCTAACTTACAGTAGCTCTTAATCTTCGTAATCTTGGATTCTAAAAGTAGGAGGGAGTGGTGTCATCCAATTCATGCAAGAACATTTCGTAAAAGGAAATATATAGTTTTGCCTACTACATTTCTTTTTTGCTGCAGATTTGACTTGTGAGGATCAGACAAGGTTAAGACATTCACTTTAAAAACCATCCAAACAATGCTCATGTTTCCAAACCAGTTTAATGGAAGTACATGCTAAAAAAACTAACTCAAAGAGGCAGAATTCAAAGTAACAGTTTCAATACAACAAATTATTCACTTGAGCATTAACTATTTCTGATACAAGGGAAGATGTAGAACATAAATAAATGGTGAAGACACTAGGCAGAAGCAGTAGCTTCCTCCAGCAACTGCTTAACCTTGGTGATATAATCGCTCATTGCTTCATCCTTGGATTTCCCTGACAAAAGAAAGTTCATATCCAAGAGTTGAGAATCGTATCTGACAATGAGAATGACAGCTGCTAAGAAAAACAGGAAAGAAACCAACTTCCTAATAACATTAATTCTGAATCAATACCTTCGACAGCCTTCCATGCATCCCACTTTGCCCTGTCCCTCATGTTGAAGATTCCAGGGCGGCCTGAAAATTGCCACAAACAGGAAGGGTCAATCAAAAAGACAACATGTTGCTTCAATAAAGAAACACTTAGGGTAAAACTATCTGATGGGAGGAAAATACTCACTGGTGTTCACGGGTCCAACAGTGGCTTGCTTGTAAAGTCCATACAGAATTAGTTTGCTCTCATTTGTTGTGTTTTCTGGCAAAGTCTTGGCTTTCTCAGCGTAGTCCTTAAATTCCTCCTGCACGAAACCCAACCCAATTTGTCACGTCAATAAACAACTTAAATGTCAAGCATCTCAAGAACTGAAGCCGATTAGCTAAACTGCTAAAGCAAAGTTCTTTGCAATTCACACATCTATTTGCGCATAAAATTTCACAAATCTCTTGTCTTGGAAAACTACGAAGGAAAATGCATCATATAAAGAGATCAGAAGCCAATATATCAGGTCTAAAATTGATTTGCCTAAATTTGTATAAATCCATGACTTGACAGTGACGCTGGGAGTAAATAAGATAGATTGCAAGATATATCTAAAAGTTGATTAAGGCAAACCATTAGATATTGAAACAGAGTAGCATAACATTAACAATAGAATAGATGTCATTGCTTCAACATGCAAAACAAGAAAATTAAAAAATTTAATAGATCCAAACATAGTATAAACATAGATCTTCAACAGGACAAGCTAAAGAATCAAGGTTTAGATTAAACAGAGCAACCAAAAATTTCATGCAGACACACTGATTGGCTAATAACCATGAAAATTACGAAGTGTCCCACCAAAGTTAACTAACGCATAATCCAAGCTAATACAATAAATCAATCAACCAATCAATCAAATCCCATGTCAGATCTAATCAAGAACGATTGATTACCTGTGTTTTCAATAACCATTCAAAACCAAGAATAGAGAAAGAGCAAGAGATCGATTTACAAGAAGAAAGAGTTAAAAAAACATGATTATTGTACCTCCAAACCCATTGCGTGGAATCTGCGTGCTTCCTGGCCTTTGTTTTTGCTTTTGGTGTCAGATATGGAAAACGAAGAGCAAGAAGAGGCGTGTATTACATAGCGTAAGA